ACCCTTCAGCTCTAGAAAATTGTTTCCATGTCTTGCAGTATATGGAAGAATCCAGAAACTAGATTTTGTAGGGAAATTGTTTGTTTACAATGATGATTTTTACATAAGTCTTTAAATACTTCATAATCTAAACAAAACATATCTTAAGGCTTGATTTATCCCACAGATCTTCATTCCACAATCTCTTGGGGCAAGCTAGCAGAACCCCAGAGCATCTGCTTAAAGGAAGACCCATTCTTTCCTGCCCCCATGTTACTCTCCTTTTCTATGATATACCTTATATACCAGGGAATTGGCCCACTACCTAAGGAATGAGTATATATACAAAGAATCACAACTCTCAGCAGAATACATATATTCTTGATCAACTTCCTATTTCAGACCTAAAGAGCCTGATGATGATAATTTAAGTGACCTCTTCTGAAAATGAATGTTAGTGAGCTGAATGGCGGTCCCAAATCCTTGTGTACATTCTTATCTCCAGAATCTGTGAATGGCAAAAGATGTGATCCAGGGAAACTTAAGTAGCTCATCCTGGTGATTCTGTTCTGCCCTAAATGCAATCACATGTGTCATTATGAGAAAAAAGGGAGAGGTCATATTGAGACAGACACACACAAAGAATGAGTCCATAAGCCAAGGAATGCCAACAGCTACCAGAAGTTGGAAGAGGCAAGGAATAGATTCTATGCCAAAGTGTATAGAACGGTGATTCAATTTCCTTGTTTTAGGCCACCTACTTTGTGTTAATTTGTTACAGCAGCCCTAGGAAACTAATCAGAATCCTTGTAGACGTATGACTTAAGATTTAACCAGACACAAATCCTAATTCAAAGAACTGGCTTGAGAGTCATTTGAAAAAAATAAAGTGTCACATAAACAAAATACTTACTAAATGAACATAAATATCATGGAATACAAGAACTCTTTGTCTCAATGCATGATCACTTTAGGGCTTATCTGCCTGGAAGTGAAGGGGGTGCGGAGGAGAGGGAAGGGGAGGGAGGCAGAGGGGGAGAAATGGCCTAAACAATGTATGCACATATGAATAAATAAAAAATAAGTAAGTAATTAAAAAAAGAACTCTTTGTCTCAGTGCATAATCATTTTAGGGCTTACTGTCAAGCTATAAACAATGGTCAATTTTTCCTCTGTCAAAAATGATTGTCAGCATATACTTGATTTCTATTTGAATGGTTTAACTCAAAACATTAAAAGATCTTGGGCTGGGGAGTATCTCAAGAGGTAGAGTGCTTGGCTAGCAAGTGTGAAGCCTAGTTCAAACCCTAGTACCGCCAAAAAAAAAAAAACTAAAAAGGCAACCTACAAACATTAAAAGATCTTAAATTAGCCAGGCAGATGGCTCATGCCCATAATCCTGGCTACTCAGGAGGCAGAGATCAGGAGGATCGTGTTGGAAGAGAGCCTGGGCATATAGTTCTAAAGACTCTATCTCAAAAATAACTAACACAGAACAAAGGTGAAGGAGTGACTCAAGTGGTAGACTGCCTGCATGACGAGCGAGGGGAGCTGAGATCAAATCCCAGAGTTGCCAAAAAAATAAGATCTTAAACTATACCATCCATTTTGATTGTAGATTGTGGTTATTGGGGACTGTCTTCACACTTAGGAAATACACTCTGAAGTATTTAAGAGTAAAGTGCCACAATGTATGCAACTCATTTTCAAATGGTTCAGGAAAAAAAAATCGTTCTCTTTATAGAGAGCCAAAGCTATGTTAGCAACTAGTGGATCCAGGATGTGTAATACTCCTCCAACTTTTCTGTAAAATTCAAATTTTCCCAAATAAATTGAGGGAAATATTTCACTCAATGCAAACACCATCACCCAACATGCTTTTTAACATTCTTCACACGGCTGATCATCATTGCATGCTCACACTATGGCAAACATCACAGTACCATACATAACACAGACAGACATTTATGTTCAGCTGTGATGTCCCTGTACAGAGATTCCTACATGGAAAATTATGAAATTACAAGCAAAACTAGGAATGTATGTTTTTAAATTGTTTCTAAACATATATTAATTATATAAAATAATGGGTTTCATTATGACATTTTCATACATGTACTTTGATCATATTCAGCCGATTTACTCTCTTGTGCGCCTCCCCACCCTGTCCCCAAATAGTCCCCCTTCTACTTTTGTGTCTTTTAAAATGGATTCTGCATATGAGAGAAAACATGTAATATTTGTCTTCTAAGTCTGGTTTCTTTAGCTTAACATCATCATCTCTACAATAACAACCATGAGCATTCTTGCAGGGAAAATAATCTAAACAAGGATATGAATACTGCTGTTAGAGACAGAAGGACACAGCATGCAAAAGCCAGAAGCAAGTAAATGCAAAGCACATTCAGAAAAAGTTAAGTAAACTAGCATGGTTGGGGATGGAGTAATAGAAGATAATCTAAGAAAGCAAAGTGTAGAAAAATCCTAAAAGCCAATGATTCCTATTTTCTTCTTTAACCCAACCTCTCATTCCCCTAGGACTCACAAGACCAGGACAGAGTTAAACATAATGGGAACCCAGTAACTTATAATTACAGAAATATCAATGGTGGGTAGGACTTAGGATAGGATTATTACATGCCATGCACTGTACTAAATTGAAGTACTAAATACTTCAATAAACATTTTTTCCTTTAATCCTCATTTTAAAAATCTTTGAGACAGGTACTAACATTATTCTCACATCACCTAAGAGATAACTGAAGCTTAGAAAAAATAAGTAACTTTTCCAAAATCACACAGTGAAAAGGTGGGTTCGTACCTAATTTATCTATTTCTAAAGCCTACAAACTGAACCAAAATAAATGCTAACAAATGTACCAATCAGAAAATTAACAACTAGATTATCCATCTCTAAGTATCAATCCTGTATTGCAGAAGAGAGACAAAGAGAATAGACTCCTTGCCCCACTGACTGAACGACATTCCCTAACCTTTAAAGAAGGTTTTATGTCAGGAGGATAGAGAATTCAAGGCCAGACGGGCTATATAGCAAGACCCTGTCTCAAAAACAAAACAAAAAACAACAAAGCTGGGGATTTAGCTCATTGGTAGTGTGCTTGCCTAGCATGCACAAGGCCCTCCAGTTCAATCCCCAGCACCGCCCAAAACAACAACAACAAGAAAACACTTTTGTCCTGAGGCCCCAGAATGCTCTGTAGAATACAAAGCTTAAAATCTTCCTCCAACTGATTTGGGCAACTTACATTTGAGGGTTTCAATTTACTGGTCTCAAAAATGGGTATAGCAGTACTTACTATGTCGTAGAACATTGTAAGGCTAGTACATATAAAACGTTCAGCACAATGGCAGGCTTGATTTAAACGACGGTTGTCTACAACACAGTCCCTGCCTATGTAAGCAAGTAACCAGAGAGGTAAAGTGGAAAAGTTGGGTCCTCACCCATTTGGAAGTGGAAATCAAATCGTGTCTAGAAAGATCAGAGGACACTTCAGAAACACATTTACAACAGCCCTTGGGTAATGAATAATCCTGATCCCCACAAATCTATGCAATGCATGGGAAAACAACAGGATAACAAAGCACAGACTCTGGCTATTCTATTAGCCTCGGTGGACCCAGAAGCTGAAGCAGCCTGTTCAGTCACTGACCCACGGGCTGAAAACTCCCAGGCGAGAGACTTACTCAAGGCCAGCTTTCTCCGGCTCCTCGGCTTCAGTGTCCATGATGCACCCGCAACACTAACACAAGCTGTCAACACACACTCCCTTCATGTCTTTCTGCCCTCAAACACTAAAAAAAAAAAATCCTTAATCTACTCTCCCAGCTCTACCGCCGAGGTGACGCCTACCACTAGAACCCAACCCTCACTCAGTCTGAGAAACACGCATGCGCGACTCGAGGCGCCCGGTTTCTCCAACCGGAAACCCAAAGTGTGTTGTCATGGAGACCGCGAACTCAAAGGCGCTTAAAGTGTGCTCACCGCAGCCTTGCTTGACAGCGAATGACTTAATAAAGACCGAAAACTAATGGGTTTCCGGAAAAATTGCGATGGCTCACCTCACAAATGCTCTGAAAGGAGTAGAACAGAGTCCCCGGTGCCTCAGTTTTGTCAGAAATAACTATCTTGCAGGAGGTGGTTGTTACACATCTGTAATCTCAATCCCTTGGGAGGTCGAGGCTGGCGGATCGTGAGTTCGAAGCCAGCACGACCTACAGAGCCAGACCCACTCTCAAAAAGAAAACCAGTGATCATCTAGGGCTGGGTGCCTCCAAACACTGCCCCTAGATCATCCACACACATGTTAGAGCTCTCTATGTTAACGATAGGTATTTCAGGTTTTAATTTGCACATGTGCTGACGTACCAGATACCAAATGCAAGCGAACAACACGGGAGTGCAGGAAAATCTGGGTATCTTTAGCATGTTTAGGTTGGAAACTGACTCCCATTCTCTTTCCTCCACAGTTCTCTTCGGAGTTGGCGATCGCTCAAGCAAATCAAGACACACACCGTTCCTCTTCTCTTTAAACTTTTAATACCAAGAACCCAAGTCAGAATTCTCAGTCAGATGCAGAAACTGTTCCTTCCTTTCCTGATTCCTGATTCGTACGTTTTATCTTTTCACTAATTGGCTTTTTACAGGTATCTTAAAACTTGCCTAGTTTGGCACAGAGAGTTCTCAAAATACTGTTCAGGATAGAGACTGAACCCCTTAATAACGCGCCTTTCCGAGGGAACTCAGAATATCTAACTTCAGCGCTGGGTTTAAGCAGCACCACAACCGCCAACGGGGTTTGGGGCTGACCTGCCGCCTCAGGCGGGGTTAGGAGGCCCAGCTCGGCACGCCGCCCCGCCCTGCCCAGACCGGAAGTGGGGGGGAGGAACGCTCTGTTCTAGATGGGCCTCGGCGCGCGCCGTAGCGGCCGCCCGAGAGGACCGAGCGGGTCTCAGGTTTCGCCCCGCCCTCCCCCGCTGCTGTGTGGCCCTGCTTCCTTCAGGCTTCTCCGCCGGTAGTCATGGGGCAGGAGCCGCGGACGCTGCCGCCCTCCCCCAATTGGTACTGCGCCCGTTGCAGCGATGCAGTAACCGGGGGCCTGTTCGGGTTTGCGGCGCGGACCTCCGTCTTCCTTGTCCGCGTGGGCCCTGGCGCGGGCGCGATCCCTGGGACACCCCCATTTCGAGGTAACTCCCCACGTCCGGGCCCAAGCCTTCCTGGGATCCCAGGGGCGCTAGCAGGTCACCTCCAGACACCCCTTTTTCTACGGAATCTGGGGCACCAGCGGAGAGAAACGTCTTGCCGCAGTTACTGAGTCGCGATGGGGTTCCAAGAATGATCCAACCTGCCCTGTAGCCAAGCGGTCCCGCCTCCTGGCGCTCGCACGTGGGACCGTTCGCTTACCGAAAGTTGGCCCTGGGCATTTAAAACGTGTGGCTCCTTCCCCTCATCCCTTCCCAAAGTATGAGCTAGCCCCCTGGGAGACTTCCTGGGATTGGGGACTGTCTACTGCTATAGACCGTAAGCAAGATCCTACAAATTCATGATACTCGTTTCTGTAGGATGAATGGGGTGGGCCTGATGCTTTCAGGATCCAAACTAGGGCTTGATCATGCCTTAGAACATGACGTGTTAGCTATTTATTGCAGTCCAAATGACCTGTGGGAGAATCGAAGTAAGAATGGTTTTCACATTCGTCATTTGGGGTATCAACATTGTTTTACAAATGAGAGTACTTTGAGGTTCAAAGAGAAGATTACCTGCCTGGAGTTACATGGCAAGAGGCAGTATCAGTACCTGGAGTTCTGATTATGAGTTTGTAGATATTTTTGTTTGTTATTCTGCTCACTCATCATCCAACATTATGATTCCTTCCGGAATCTTGGATAGCGGTTTAATTAACTTTAAGTCTGATTTTGCTTAAAGTCATAGGAGAGTTAGTGGGACACACGGAAAGGGTCTCTGGCTTCACGTTTTCTCATCACCCTGGTCAGTACAACCTCTGTGCCACCAGCTCCGATGATGGGACTGTGAAAATCTGGGATGTAGAGACCAAAACAATTGTGACGGAGCATGCACTACATCAGGTACCAAAGAATAATGATTTCTCAGAACATTTTCTATATCTGTGCTGAGAGTTCTTTTGTTTCTAATACAGTTTTGCTAGCTCATCTGTGCAAGGAAATTTGTATTATTATGTTCATTAATTAGATAGGAAGCCCTGTATTGTAAAGTCTCAGAACTTTTTTGAAAGGACTGTTTTGTTTATAAGCTAGACATAAGCAACCACGTGCTTTTGCAAATGAGTTAGAATACCGCCACATTTAAATCTCATCTATGGCTGCTTTCACGCCACAACAGCAGAGTAGAGAAATAAAGATAGCATAGCCTGCAGAGTCTAGAATATTTAATAGCTGGTTGTTCTCATAAAATAACCTGATATAAACTGTAAATGAATGAATGGAACTCATTTGTAAAACAGATGACTACTGGGTGTGCCTACCTTTTAAGAGAACAAAGAAAAGACTAATTTTAACCTTGTATTGACTTTTCACTGACCAATTAAAGAAAATTATTTTAATGATTCTTTGATCCCAAGTAGTATAAATTTTCCTGTAATTTGATTAATACAGTGTTAAGTGCCTGTAGTATGCCTAGTGTTAGGCCAATTTGTGGTACAAGTTAAAAATTAAGTAAAATTCAGTATTGACAAATGAGAAGTAAATATTTTTATTTTGTTTTGAAGCATACAATATCAGCATTGCATTGGTCTCCTCGAGTGAAGGACTTAATAGTATCTGGGGATGAAAAAGGAGTAGTTTTTTGTTATTGGCTTAACAGAAATGACAGCCAATACCTCTTCATAGAACCCAGAACAATTTTCTGTCTTACTTGTTCACCTCATCACGAAGATTTAGTAGCCATTGGGTAAGTATTGTGCCATCTGTATTAACAGTTGTTTTTGCTTATGACCATATATTTCATTTGCATTTCCATCTCCTGTGCTATTACTCCTCAAAGGAAACTTAAAAGTGTTAATAGCTTCTCCCAGACAAGGGTATCACTTATTCCTGTGATCTCCAGGTCCTTGATATCTGTCTCACTCCCTCTCTTTGTTTTTGTTTCCTTCCTCTCCATGATACTGTACTTTCCTTGTTTTTTATGCCTAATTTCTTCAGTTTACTTCACCTTTTTCTCACTTTACACTGTCGTTGGATATAATGCTAACTCCCAGAGTATCAGTTGACTATTTTGTCTCTGGTTCTGTACACTCCCTCTGAATTGGGGAATTGATAGGGCAGTAGGCTCTGTCTTCTTATTGATCGCCATATTGTTTCACATGAACTAATCCCCTTTTCCTCATTTTTCTGTCTTCTTCTCACCCAAACATGTCTGTTCCCTCCACTTTAAAGGCCTGACATAAGCCATTTCACTGTAATATTAGAGGAGAAAATCTAACTAGACTGGATTCAAGAGACCAGTGGGGGACCAGGTGTGGTGATTCACACCCATATACCAGGAGGATCACAAGTTCAAGACCAGCCTGAGCTATATAGTGAGACTATGTCTCCAAGAAAGAAAGAGAAAGAGAAGGGGGGAAGGGGTAATAAGATAGTGTAGATACCCACAGAGACAACTTTTTCACAAAGTTTATTGTAAAAATGTGCGTAGACATGAAACCAGAAGAGATATCTGGAGTTAGCCAGGCTCAGAAGACCAAGAATCATATGTTCTCCCTCATGTGTGGAATTTAGATCTAGGGCAAATACAGCAATGCTGTTGGACTTGGGTCACATGATAAGGGGAGAACACATACGAGAGGTATGGGGATAGGTAGGAAACCCAAAACATAAAAGTGTCTGATGTCCCCACTGCAGAGGAGCTAATACAGAAACCTTAAAGTGACAGAGGTCAATATGGGAAAGGGATCAGGAACTAGTGAAAAGGTCAGTTAGAGATGAATCAACTTGGGTTGTAACACACTTGTACATGGAAGCAATGCTAGAAATCTCTCTGTATAGCTATCCTTATCTCAACTAGCAAAAACGCTTTGTGTCTCTTATTATTGTTTATGTCTTCTCTTCAACAAAATTGGAGAAAAGGGCAGAATAGGTTCTGTCTGGAAGTGGAGGGGGGGCAGGGGGGAGAAATGGCCCAAACAATGTATGCACATGTGAATAAATAAATAAATAATTTTTAAAAGAGGAGTATGAAACGAAAGATACCAAAGGAACATTTCTATGCTGGTTTAAGGGAGGTATAGTAAGAGTAAACTAATAAATACATGAGTGATGAAATTGATCCATTTGACAAGTAGAAACAGTTGAAAATATGGAATAGGCACAAGTAGATTTGTAAATCTGTTTGGAAAAAGAGAGTATTCCATTCTTTGGCTTCACATTTTCTCAGGGAAGTGTAAGTCAGAGGTGGAGTCAAGTCTAGGATCAGATTGGAACTAGATGTGAGAAGAAAGCATGAAAACTCAGAGAATAGGAAAATGAATAGATCAAGGTTATGAATTTAAACTACTCAAACTGAGTAGTTGGATTCAACCAGGTTTGGAGTTTTGTGGAGTCAGTAGCCCTGAGAGACAGTAAACAAGGGATAATGGTGTTTTAAAGAACAACTATATGGCTCAGCCTGTAATCCTTGCAATTTGGGAGGCTGAGATTGGAAGGATTGAGGTTCAAGGCGAGACCAGGCAAACAGTTTGCAAGACCAATCTCCAAAATAATCAGAGCAAAGTGGAATGGAGATGTGGCCCAAGGGATAGAGCACCTGCTTTGCAGGCACGGAGCCCTGAGTTCAAACTCCACTCCTACCAAAAAAAGAGCAACTATAATGGTGTTTCATGAAATTTGTGCTGTGCTGCATGAGGGAAGGGGTCAAGACAGATGTGACTGAGTAATAGTGAAAATAGAAGGGTTCTGCGGATTAGCACTCTCTTGAAATGGGACCATTGCTACAATGGAGGTATGTACTAGAGAAAGTGAGCAGAATGTGTAGTGGCCATCATGATCAAATAGATCTTGACAGAAGAGCAGGAATTCACAAAAAGTAGACCATCTTTCAGGTAGAGGATCTAAACAATCACATAGAACTAGATCAGAAAGATTTGTTCTTAGAGGATCTTTAAAATGATCATTCCCAGAAGGCTTTACTCAAATTTCAAAACAGTTTGATCTCATGTCAACTAGGTTGCCTAACTTGTTGAAAGGTCTGGGAGTGAAGAATAGTATGACTCAAGTGGTAGAGCACCTGCCTAGCAAGCACAAGGCCTTAAGTTCAAACCCCAGTATGGCAAAAAGAGAGAGAGAGAAGTATTTAAACACTCAAAGTCTTCAAAGACCTTTTAATATTCTATTTCTGGGTTTTATTTCTTGTTTTTGTTTGTTTGTTTTGTTTTTTAAATCTGTATGGTGCTTTTTCCTATAGAGTTGTCTAATGTGCCTAGAATTATGTGTAGAGAATATAAATAGGTGCAACCACTTTGAAGAGCAGATTTTACACTTTGTAGTGAAGCGAAGATGTACATATCTTACATCCTTGCAGTTCTATTACTAAACATCAAGCCTGAAATTGCCCTACATATCTGAAAACATAGCAGCCTTTTTGTGTGGAATAGTAAAAGATGGAAGCCTTTCAGAATCAAAATGAATAAACTGTGATTTGTTCATAGAATACAGTACTAATACAAAAGTGTAAATGAGTGACCCAAGATAGAGTTACATGCATCAACATGGATGATTCACAAACAATTAATGGAAACAAGCAAGCTGCTGTAAAATAGACTGTATAAATACCATTTGTATGAGGCTTTGAAATATACAAAATAATTCTGTGTCTTATTTAGGAGTATATACAAAGAAAGACTAGGAATGAAATGACACAAAATTCAGAAATAGTGATTAATCTCTGAGAAAGAGAATGGTGGTTGAGGTGGGTCCCTTCAACTTTTCTTTTTTTATTTTTTGTTTTTGTTAAGCTGGGTGGTAGAGAATCCTTTATGTGTATGAAGTTATTTATCTCTTTTTGGTGATACTGAGTTTTGAACTCAGGACCTTACACTTACTAAGCAGGTAGTCTACTGCTTGAGCCACACACCCAGTCCTTTTTTTACCTAAGTTATCTTTCAGATAGGGTTACATTTTGCGTGGAGCCAGCCTTAGTCCACAATCTTCCCACCTGTGCCCCCTGCATAACTGGGACCACAGATATGTGCCACCATAGTTGGCTTGTATGTCAAGATGGGGTTCACTAGATTTTGGTCTGGATTTGCCTCTAACCATGATCTTCCTGAAATCCGCCTCCCAAGTAAACGGGATAGCAGGTGTACATCACCATTCTCTCCTCATCATTTGTTAAATAACTTAGAATCTCTCAGTTTCTTTTTGAATTCATAAAATGGCAACTGTGGCATCTACTGTTCAGGTTTGTTTATTAAGTTTGTAGTTAATAAACTACAAATAACTTGTGAAAAGGAAATTGTTTTCAGTGCACTAGCCAATTCATCTCTAATTACTGCATTGCTGCAACCCTGTAAGAACTATTCTTCTCTCAGTTCCCTGAAATAAAAGCATGTTCCACCCTTTGAGCTCTGTGCTGGGCAACATATGTAGTATTAGTTAGTGCGAAGAGTCTGATCATGAAGGAAATTTTTTTTTTTTTTTTTTTTTTTGGCAGCACTGGGGCTTGAACTCAGGGCCTTGTGCTCGAAAAGCAGGTGCTCTACTACTTGAGCCACACCTCCAGCCCCATGAAGGAAACTTTTAATGAGACCTGAAAGCATGATATGAACACTTTGGAAAATGGGCAAAATGATTTCTTGTCCTCTCCCTTTCTTCTCTACCCCAAATGTACCTACCTACCTTTTAGATGTCACAGTGCAGACACCTAACCAAAGTGTTTACTAGAGAGGCTACTCTGAGTTCATTTTTCACTAATATTTCTAACTCTTGTTTTTTTTTTTTAGCTACAAGGATGGCATAGTGGTTATAATTGACATCAGTAAGAAAGGAGAAGTTATTCACAGGTTTCGAGGCCACGATGATGAAATCCACTCTATAGTCTGGTGTCCCCTACCTGGTGAAGATTGTTTATCCATAAATCAAGAGGAAAATGCAGGTAGAGATGATTGAAGGGAGAGTTCAGTACTCTTGACATAAAGAACAAAATGGGTAGAATTGTATCATCTAAATTGTATTTAAAACCTTAGGTTATGGGCTTGGGGGTGGCTCACATGGTAGAGCACCTGCCTACCTCTGAGGCTCCGAGTTTGGTACAGCAAAAAATAATAAATAAAAATTTTTTTTTAAATTAAGCCTACAAAAGAGAGAGCATTTTGTAACCCTTACAAACTACAGGTTTAATGTAAATTAAAAACAGAATTACCATCTCTCTCCTAGAAGAGCCTGAAATTACTAATGGGAAAGTTATAGCAGAAACTCCTATAACAAAAGGCTGCTACTTAGCCACTGGAAGCAAAGATCAGACCATTCGAATCTGGAGCTGCTCTAGAGGCCGAGGTAAGGTTGGTGTTTGATGTTTCTTTTGTGATAAAACCTGTATTGATTTGGTAGAATTTGCTGCTTTTTTGCTCTTATTGTTCCAATAGTGTATATTGTCTGCCAGAAGTCTGTTCCTGCCAGACACTGGTGGCTCGCACCTGTAATCCTAGCTACTGAGGAGGTAGAGATCAGGGATCTCGGGCATATGGTTCAAAAGACCCTATCTTGAAAATACCTAGCACAAAAAAAGGGATAGTGGAATGACTCAATCGGTAGAGCGCCTGTCTAGCAAGCATAAGGCCCTGAGTTCAAACCCCAGTACTGTCCAAAAAAATCTACTCCTCATTTTTCCTCTCCAGAAAGTTGCTGCCACAGGGTTAGACTTCTGTGCTCTGCCTGACTGTTGGATTAGTTTCCAGTATGGCAAGGACCCCTGCCTTATTGAAGGATCGGTTTTTGGTATGGAAAGCAAGATATATGTTATAAGAAGAGGAATACTGGAACTTGGCAAGGCCTTTGTCAGAGGAATGGAAAACAATCTCTAGAGTTAGAGCTTGTCATACACAAATATGGAGTAAATAATACACATCCAGCATAGAGATACATGTTCACATGTAAATGCTCACTGTTCAAAGTAATCTAAAAATCCATGTGGGATGACCTCTAAACTTAAAGCTGTCTAATACAGTGGTCTTCAGTTCTTGTGCAGCAAAGTCAGCTGGAGCATTTTGGAAAATTATAGGCTTCTGGAGTACACTTCAGATGTACTGAATCAAATCTCTAGGTATTGGACCCTAGCACGTGTTTTTGTCTTATTGGGCTTTGTGCTTGCTAGGCAGGTGTTCTACTGCTTGAACCACACTGCCAGCCCTTTTTGCTTTGGTTACTTTTAAATAGGTTCCCACTTTATGCCTGGGCCAGGGTGGACCACAGTCCAATTTATGCTTCCCAACATAGCTGACCATTGTGCCCATCCATTGATTGACATGGGGTCTCACAAATTTCTTGCCTGGGCTGGCCTCAAAGCACAATCCTCCTGACCTCCACCTCCCAAGTAGCTTGGATTACAGGTTTAAGCCACCTCGCCCAACCTAGCATGTATGTATTTTCTTCACTTGTTTGTTTTGTTTTGTTTTGGTGGGACTGAGGTTTGAACTCAGGGCTTCATGCTTGCAAAGCAGGTACTCTACTGATTGAGCCATGCCTCCACTCCATTTTTGCTCTGGTTATTTTGGCATGAGGTCTCAGGAACTGTTTGCCTGGGCTGGCCTAGAACCACTATCCTCCGGATCTCAGCTTCCCAAGTAATTAGTACTACAGGTGTGAGGCACCAGCACCCAACACGTGTATTTTTAAAAGCTGTCCTTTAGTTCTGTTGTATAATATAGACTAGGAAATATACCCCTGCTACAACATGTGTCAACTGCCAGATTTTTCTCCTTTGGTGGATTTATGACCAGCTAGGAGAAGGAATCCCACTCTGTCCTTCCACCTTTGGGTAATCTTGGGTTGTGTTACCACCTTGGCTTCTCAATTAATGTTTCCATGAGAAATTGAAGTATTTATTCTAAGTGGCCAAAGTTAGCTTCTAAATCACAGATCATGGATTGTGAACCACTGGTGACTTCAAGTACCTAGTTTTGTGTGCTTATTGGCTTTTTTTAATCAATAGGAGTAATGATTTTGAAATTGCCATTTCTGAAGAGAAGAGGAGGGGGCATAGACCCAACTATTAAAGAGCGCCTTTGGTTGACACTCTATTGGCCCAGGAATCAGCCAACACAGCTGGTATCCAGTTGTTTTGGGTAAGTCTTTTTTGAATCATGTTTTACTTTCCTATTTGGCCTTGGAAGTTCCTAGGCTTCCTTTTTAGACAGAGGAGATGGAGAAAGTAATAGCCAAAGCTTATATTATCATGGGCCAGTTATCTTTTCTCATTGTTTGAGACAGTTCACTGTGTATCCCATGCTGGCCTGGAACTCAACATCCTCCTTCCTCGGCCTCCAAGCCCTGGAAGTATGGACTACCACACCTGGCTGTCATGAAATAGAAAAATCATGAGACCTGTGCTGTCTACTAACTAAATTGTGTAAAGATCAAATAGCTGTAGCCTAGTAGTTACACATTCTGAAGCTAGACACAACCGAGTTTCAGAATGAGTCTGCTACTTACCTGCTTTGTGTTCATGAGTAAGACTCCATATATTTCTGAACTTCAATCATTTACTTATGTAATGATATTTTCTGTGTCCTAGAATGGTTATGGCCAGTCAATAAACAAAATTCGTTGAGCACTTCCTGTCTGAAAAAGCAAACCATTTTCCTATGCTCTCACATCACAGCAATCAACACAAAAGACTTCTGTGACTCCCCACCAGCAAGCAAGCAGTTAATAGCAGCAGACATGAGCTGGGTGTCTTCTAATTCATTTCAATTCTGATACCACCTAGAAATAGTGTCAGATCCCACAAGATGAGGGCTTGGTGCCAGAGATTTCCTGGAACCCCCGCCACACACACACACACACACACATACACACACACACACACACACAACACACACACACACACACACACACACAAAACACACATTTTAGATGCCAGTTGCAAGCCCGGATTGTTTTACCTGAGCTTCTGACAGAGTATAGATCAGGGTTCCCACAACCTCCTCCTCTGGTTCAATTAATTTGCATGAGCAGTTCACTGAACTCAAGGAAGCACATATGTTTACTACTTTATTACAAGAATATTAACGGATATAGAGGAAGAGATGCACAGGGCTAGGTATGAGAGAAGGGAAAAGGAATTTCTGAGCCCTCTCTGGGCACACCACACTTCAGGACCTTCCACTGTTCAGCTATCAGTGCTCTGTCTTTTGTGGGTTTTGTGGAGACTTCATTACACAGACATGATTAATTAAATCCGTAACCATTGGTGATCAACTTAAGCTTTATCCCCTCCCATCGGTTCAGGATGGGGCTAAAAATGCCAGACCTCTAATCCTTCCCTGAGTCTTTTGGGTGACCAAACTCCTTAGAACTACCTACATGCTGTCAGCCAATTCCAAGGATTTTAGGAGTTGTACGCCAGCAAAGGCTATGTATTTTACAATATCATAACTTACCTCTAGTTGCTGAGGATAATAAGAGAATTTAGTAGGCCAGTTCTCTACTTTTAAATGAGGTAATATAGATAAAGCACATATGGGTCTCCCAAAATATTAAGCATGGCCCAACTTTCTACTACCACCCCAAAAAAGAGGTATGTCTTGAATTTTGGAGCTATGCAAATTGTAGTGACATTGTATAGTAAAGCTATTAGAGAAATCTATTTAAAAGGTAGTCAGGTACATTCACATGTTTTGAGACAAAGGTATGGAATAAAATATCCTTCCCACTTCTGCATTCCATAGCTAATTGGGCAATGAGGAAGAGCAGATTGCTTTTTTGTGTGTTTTGAGACAGGGGTCTTGTTATATAGCCCAAACCGGCCTCAAACTTGTGATTCTCCTGCCTTTACTTCTTCACCTCCTGAGAGGCTGAGATTACAGGTGCACAGTAACCACGCATCGCTCAGCAACAACAACAACAAAAACGGTTTTATTTGGCCACAAAAGAGATTTGCAAATCAGAAGGTGCAGCTACCAGGAGAAGGTGAGCTAACAAGGAGACGTAGGTCCCTTCAGGATAACATTCTCTGGAGAAGATAAGCAGGATGAGTCACGCCTAACAGTTGAAAACTGACAAGTCAGGGCAGTTGTAAATTTTGTCAGTCCCATTGGAATGTTCAGGTCAGGAAGCAAACTGATCACCCAGATATTGTTAGGTTCTGGGAAATTGTTCCCTGTGGCAAATGCAGTTCACCACATATCAGTGTGGCATTCTGCTTCCTGTCAGCAAATTGCTAAAGCTCAGAAAAGGATTAACTCTCTCTTTGGCCATGTTGCTGCCATTTTGACTTAAATTTTATCAAAGGAACAATTAACATTATTTAACAACCAAAAACCCAAACCCTGCCTCAGCAATAACTGGCTTCAGAATGCTTACAAGAGAGATCTCTAGTGCATTTGTTTTTCCTTCACAGAGGTGAACTGTTGCTGTGGGATTTGACCCAGTCTTGGAGACGGAAATATACCCTCTTCAGCACTTCAGCAGAAGGGCAGAATCATTCCAGAATTGTGTTTAATTTATGTCCTTTGCAAACCGAGGATGACAAACAGCTATTACTTTCCACATCCATGGATAGAGATGTAAGATCTGCTTTGCTTTAGCCAGCTTTGTAGAACAGTGATTTATAATTTGTGTGGGATAAGAGAGTTTCACGTCCCATTCCTGCTTCCTGTTTCAAAGCTCGTATTAGTGATCAGCGCAAAATACGTCAACAGCACACAAGTAAAGGAAATGTGAGGAACCACCGTGATGCTTGTTTGCTAAAGCAGAAATTTGAAAAAAAAAAGTGTCCAGGGAAGGATGTGTGAGTTCATCAGCTTTGGTTTATCCTGATCTGTAATTCTCTCTTCAAGAGAGAATTGGCTGTATTTAAGAGTTTTTGACCTTAGCTGTTTTTACAGCTAAGCTAGGCTTTTTGATAAACTTTGTTTTCTCCCAAGTGCCTGTGTTCAAGTGACAATTAAATACTTTTTCCTCTTCCTTCCCTGAGTATAGGACACTTGGCGTTTAGACAGCAGCTCTTTTCCCTCAGCATGGGGAAAAATCATCATTTAGGATTTTAAGTTCATTCTTATTTAGAGTTTGCCAAAAATGGTATCAACTGAACTCTAGAAAAATGGGAGACCTGAGTTCTGGTTTGCTAATGTTTGGTACTGAATTCACCGAACATCTCTGGGAATGAATATACTCCAGGATCCCTTTGAGATGTAATTTATTGCTGATTTTTTTTTCCTATGAGACGCTTTTTCCATTTCCTATTGGAAGAGTTAAATTATATAATCTTTGCCCATTCTCCTAGCCTAGCTTTTGAAGTATTTTGGTGTTTTTGTCCTGTTTCTCTGCTTTTCTCTAGGGTTAGGCCCTAACCCTTAATTCTTTCAGGTAAAATGTTGGGATATGGCTAACCTGGAGTGCTGCTGGACCCTTCCTTCCCTTGGTGGGTTTGCCTATAGCCTGGCTTTCTCTCCTGTCGACGTGGGCTGTTTGGCCATAGGCGTTGGGGATGGCATGATCCGTGTATGGAATACACTCTCCATAAAGAACAACTATGATGTGAAAAATTTTTGGCAGGGTGTCAAGTCCAAAGTTACAGCGGTAAGGATAATATTTTTTTTTTTTTTAATAGTTCAGGGGTTTGACTCAGGGCTTTACACTTGCAAAGAAGGTACTCTGCCACTTGAGCTACACATCCAGCCGAATTTTGCTCTGATTGTTTTGAAGATAGGGCCTCCCGAACCATTTGCCTCAAATCATGATTCTTCTGATCTTAGCCTCCCAAGTAGCTAGGATTACAGGCAGGAGCCTCCAGCTCAAATAAGTAATTTTTTTTTAGTGACTATTTGCTTTTAAATGAGCGCTACTAGAAATCACAAGTTGTTTAAAGGTAATTTTTTTTTTTTACAGTACTGAAGTGTAAACTCAGGGCTTCGTGTTTGCTAGGTAGGCACTCTCAGCTTGAGTCACAGTCCTTTTTGCTTTGGTTATTTTGGAGATAGCATTTTCACTTTTTGCCCAGGCCAGACTGGAACCATGATCTTATTTTACACTTCTCACCATCCGTAGCTGGGATGACAAGCACGCAACACCTTGTCCAGCTTTTTTCTGTTGAGAAGGGTCTTGGAAACTTTTTGCCAGGGCTGGCCTCACCACAGTCCTCCCAATCTCAGCCTGCCAAGTACCTGGGATTACAGGCATGCATCACTGATGCCTGACTTGTTCATAGGTATTTTTGATGAAGTTTGAAACTAGGAAAGCAGAAGCACCCTCCAGTTAAATCCATTTCCCCAAATTCAGTGTTTAAAAATATTAAAGCGTTGTTCATGTTTTCTAATACTAAGAAATTAGAAATTACCTGGATGTGTGTTCATAGAAGATACATTAAGTTATGGTATAGCCATATACTAGAATGGTGTCAGCTATTAAAAGTGATGTTATAGCTTTTATATGGAAAGATAATGATTTATAAAAATGCAAGTAATAAAATTTGGAATGCCGAATAGAAAACATAATTTTTGTTTGTTTTTCTTTAAAATTTTTTAGACTGTGGCCATTTAGTCTAAAAAATAAATGGGGCTGGCAGAATGGCTCAAGTGGTAGAGCCGCCTGCCTAGCAGGCTTGAGGCCCTGAATTCAAACCCCAGTACTACCACCCAAAGTGAAAAGGCATTGAATGTGATTTTAAACTAAAACCAAATGAAACAGAAGGAATACAAAGCAAACATTTTTCCCAGCCCTTTCTCTACTCCAGTCCCCCATTCCATAATACAGAGAACTGTTGGCGACCACTTGTGATATATCTTTCCAAGTTTTAATTATCAATGGAATCACATTTTCTATATTGTTCTGGAGTCTTTTATCCCCAGTGTACAGTGTGTTGTATGAGTCATTTAAATGTTTGAATTTTTTTCCTATGGTATGTATCTAAGATTATTTACAAAAATATTTCAAAAGTGAGAAGCAACAGGTTGTCTTGGAGTGGCAAGATTACAGATGACTGCCACCTTGTTTTTAATCCATTTTACCCCACTTTTAAACAATGAGAATTAGAAGAAATCAAGAGCAAGAAAGTTTTCCTTTTTTTTAATTGTTTTATTGGGGATACCTTGTGACATTTACAGAAGTTCTTATAATATATTATAGTTGAATTCACCCCCTCCATTGTTCACCTTTATCTCTCCTCCCCTGAAGTTTTCCATTTAAGTATTAAAAGGATAACATAATAGTCAGTCATGGTGACTCAGGCCTGTAACCCTAGCCAGAGAGGTGAAGATTGGGAAGATTGTGATTCCAGCCTGGGCAAAAAGCTAGTGAAACCCCATCTCAACAAATAAGCTGTATATGGTATTATGCAGCTGTCATCTTAGCTACACAGGAAACATAGGAAAATTGCAACCCAGTCAAAAAGCAAGACCCTCTCTGAAAAATAACTAAAGCAAAAAGGGCTGGGGGCATGGCTGATGTGGTAGAGTACTTGCCTAGCAAACACAAGGCCCTAAGTTTGAACCTTAAAAAAAATAAAAGGATTCTGTTTATTGTTTCCGCTTTTCTCATATATTCTTATTTCAGAACTCTCTTTTTTTTTTTTGGACTCATCAACTTTATTTGTCACTCTTTATAGACATTGGACCATTTCCACATGAAGAGTAGAAATAACCCACTTCAACTTAATATTCTATAGAATGAAATTGTACCACAAACCACAGTAACTTCACAGGGGGAAAAGTTACTGAAATAAAAATATTTTATATCCATGCCTTAAGATGTTCCTGAAGATCTGTTTTCATGTATCTAATTACAAGCATCTATACTCCACAAAGCTAGTCTCTTCTTAAATCAATGTAGTAATTTTAATATCCCTACTAGACCATATGGATCACCAAACTTGCAGAAGAAGTTAAAAAAACAGCTATCTTGTCAATCAGTTTCAAAACCAAGCGATTGTATAAGCACATCCAGGATTTTAGGGCTGCTCTAAATTAAAAATCTTTTTTCGGAACTCTCTTATAGCTGTGCTGGCACCCAAACAAGGAAGGTTGTTTAGCTTTTGGAACCGATGATGGAAAAGTGGGATTGTATGACACCTACTCCAACAAGTAAGAAATGGATGGTTCTTGTTTAGCCGTTGACAAAACATCAATGATGGATTTCATTTTAAATTCATAAATCTGGATGTACATCAAAACTGTATGGAAAACTTTTTTTAGAGTAATATTTCAAAGACTTAAGGGTCAGAACTCAGAATTTTATTTTAAAAAATTTTTTTCAGAGAGTGGTCATTTAGCCATATCTGATATTTGGGAACCGCCAAGATAAACCATTTGCTTTTATTTCTACAAAAATTTCCACCCATACATGAAGTTGAAAAACAAGTATAAAGAACATCTGCCTTCTTTCCATTAGTTAACATTTTACCATACTGGTTTTATCTGTGTGTATGTATGTTTCATCTGAAACATAGGAAACAAAGTTGAAGACATTGTGATATCCCTCCTTTACAATTCCAAGAATGAGAACATTTCTCCTGTATGGTCACAGTATCCTAATTACACTTAAGAAAATTAACAGCAATTTTATAATATGGTCTAATAGCCAGTATACATGGATTTCCTCAGTTGAGCCAAAAATAGTTTTCCTAAGGTTTTTTTTTCCCCCAGATTAATTTTCCATTAAGATTTATGCATTACATTTTGTTACCTCTTCTTGGTCACTCTTACTCTAGAGTACTGACCCTACTTCTTTCCTTTCCATAACATTGCCTTGAAGATTCTAGATAAGTTGTTTTATAAACAATTCTACATCTTGTCTAGCTATTTCCTTATGGTGACTTTTAACTCAATTTTATATCCTTATGGTGACTTCTAACTCCCTTCTCTACTCCTTGTATTTCCGATTAACTGCAAATTAGGCCTAGAGCTTGCCGTGTCCATTACAGTAGTCCTTAGCTACAGATAACTCCTGAGCACTGGGAAGGTGGTGAGTCCAATTTGAGATGTGCATTAACTGTAAAATACACTAAAGTCTTAGTATTAAGAAAGAATACAAAAATCTCAATCATTTTATTTTGCTTATGTTCTAAATAATACGTTTAATATGCTGAACTAAATTTTTCAGTTAAATCTCACTTGTTTCTTTGACATTTTTTATTGTGGCTACTTAAAAGCTCTGGGTTACATATGTGGCTCATATTTATGGTTCATATTATCTGTTACAGAGGCTTGTTCTAAAGGCTTCATTAGAGGCCAGGCCTGTACCACTCAGTAGCTACTAGCTACATGTGGGCATTTATACTTAAAATAATCAAAATTAAATAAAATTAGAAATTCAGTTCCTCAGTTTCACTGACCACATCTCAAATGCATAGGAGCCACATGTTGCTATAGGTGCCTCATTGCACAGCTGTTCTGTACTAGGGTTTGGCAGACTATAGCCCAGGAGTTAAGAATAGTTTCTTTTTTCTAAATGGTTGAGAAAACATCATTATTCATCACATATAAAGATGAGGTAAAATTCAGTTTTCACTGTGTATAAGCAAAGTTTTAATGGAACACAGCCACACTCATTTGATTGCATCCTATCTGTGGCTACTTTCATACTAACACAGCAGAATGGAGTCATCGTGGTAGAGATTGCATGGTTCCCAAAACACTTTACAAAAAAACTTTGCCTGACCTTGTCTTCTGGTAAGAATCATTTAATTTTCTATATACAATTCTTTGCTTCCTTGCTTGCCTTCTTTCTTTCTCTCTTCATTGCTTTGCTGGAGAAGTAACACAGTTTCTCCTGTCTTAGTTTAGGGGGAAAAAAACCTTTCAAAGACATTTAACTAAATATAACAATATTGATTTAAATAGCTCTGTATCATCATAAAATTGCTAACTAGTTCTCTTATAATAACATCTCATGATAGGCTGAACTTTCATGACTAATACTAGTAAAGTTATATAGTAGGAGGTAGGATATTGCTATAGATTTGTTAGGCATTCAGCCAGAATGGCTTGTTCTATTTCTTTTAGCCGAAGAAATTTGGGTTCATTGTCTAGAATGATTACTATAAATTTACCAGATACATACAAGTAAATAATTCCACAACTAGTTCAGTCATAAGGTCTGCAGTTCTAAAATCATACTTATCATACTTATAATTTATTTTTAAAGTGTTGCCATTTTTTTTTCCCCAAAGAAACCAAACATTTACTGACACACAACATACCATTATTACCATAAAACCTTAGAAAATCTTCAAATAACAAGGCTTCCTTAAAGGACAATCAAACATTTTAATCTGTCCACCCTGAAACTTTGTCACATTTTAAAAATGTGATGTTAATGGCTCTAAAATTACTTTTGATCTTTTTCTGAATATCAGATGAATATGTTTGGATGGTGATGGTATATGCTTAGCAATAACTTTAGTCCTAACCTGAATAATTTGCATTTTATATCTTGAGAGATGAAATAAGTAGCCTATTTTTCTCTAGTTGTCATAACCTTTATACTTCTTCATAACTACAGCAGTGTTAGAATAATAGATACTTAATTGAAATGGGCAGCATAGAGGGACAGATGAGAAAAAGATCCCAAACTGGCCAGGTGGATGGGAATAACATTTTTTTCTGAGTAAGGTATGTTTAAGGCTTGTTTGGGTATTGAATATTATTTCATGGTATGTCATTTAAGTGTGTTCTTTTTACAATCAACTATTTGGAGATGAGTATTGTTTATTTGTCTCTAATATCTGCAACTATGTAATAAGGACCTTTTAGAAAAAGTTGGTCTATTTTCACCATGCCTTTTTATTTAAATCTTCCTATTTGTTCTCTACCTCCAACCCCTAAAGACCTCCACAGATATCTAGTACATATCATAAGAAGACTGTGTATACGTTAGCCTGGGGACCACCTGTACCCCCCATGTCACTTGGTAAGTGTCCACCCTGTTCTTTAACTAATACAGTTTTCTCTTTCACTTTAATCATAGGATATTAAAGCTAAAAGGAGTTTGTAAATACACTAATGCAGTAGCTCCTTTTGTGATCTGCTGTGTCCTCAGGGGCTCATAAAAGTTGTAGTGACATGTGATAAATCAGAATGCCTGGGAGAAATTATTTACCCATAAGCTCCACAAATTCTAAAGCATTGTTCTCTTTGAGCTGAAATTTTTCATTTTACATAGGTATCTCATGCTGGGTCCTAGCTTTTGATTACCATGTTCTGTCCCTTTCCCTCTTCTAGCTACCCCTCAGCCTTGTCTTTTTCTTGCCTCTAAAGTAATGGACCTTTTCAAATACCTTTTTAATGAGGGTATTCATTAAAGTTTCTAATGCATTTTCCTTAACTATAATGAAACATCTGTAAATTTCTGTAATACTTGCCTCATATAGAGAAAATAAATGGTATAAATCATCAGAGCTTAAGCAGCCTTGGAATTATAGTTTAATTCATTCAACAAGAGGAAATCGCTATTACTAAGGAAATCACTGCTTTGAGAAACCTCCTCTTAGTTAGTCATAGGAAAACCTCAAGTTCCATATATTTAAATGCACAAAAAGTAGAATACTCATTTCTAGAAGAAAAATAAATTCTCAAAAGCTTTGATTTGAGAACCTGTGTGTTTCTTCTGATTGAAGCTTTGGTGCCATTACTGTTTTGAATATCAGAATAATGTTTAAATATGTTGTGTTGTAGAAGTTAACATAGAATTAAGCATATCTTTTTTACTTCTCCCAACAACTGTGTTCAGGTAGAAAGAATAAGTGATTTTATTCCAGTGTCTTGAAATGTTTCAAATATATAATTCTTTTTAATTTTTAATTCTTCTACCATGGTTGTACTATAGGAACAAATAGTAAAGCTGGTGAAGTACAAAACTGATAAAGCTTTTTCTTCTTATCTTTCCTAGGAGGAGAAGGAGACAGACCTTCTCTTACTTTATACAGCTGTGGAGGGGAAGGGATTGTTTTACAGCATAATCCCTGGAAGCTTAGTGGAGAGGCCTTTGACATCAACAAACTCATAAGGGATACTAATTCAATCAAAGTGAGTTCCTATAATCCGAAGTCTATTCTTGAGTTCTTCTGGGTTTCCCATCTTGCATAATAAATTCCATACTTAGGAGCTATATATCATGCTAAGACTTCTTAGGTAAACTTTCATATCTTGACTATAAAGCATCCTTTTTAGGTCAACCACTTCAACTTCAATCAAAATGTTTCATGGTAAAAATGACCTTGTGATATGTATTCCATATACAGCCAGAAAATGTTTTTGCTTAAGACAGAATAAGCCTGCCTTATTTGTCGAGTTATTGTACATGATTTGACCAAGCATTTTCAAAAAAAAAAAAATTTCTTAAAAAGTGAAAAATAAAAATTCTAAATCCCATGCACACATTATGCATGCACCTCAGTTGATGCAGAGAAGGGCTTAGTTAGTCCCGCTTTACTGTCAGTTGTGTTTAAATCTTTGTGTGATCTGTTGTTTACCTGCCCTTAATTAAGTGATAAAGTGAAAATTTTAGATTTGTTGAAAGGTGCATATGTTTAGCAGAAGTTGGGCATTACGGGAAAAGTTAATCAAGTATCCACAGTATAAGATCTAGTTTTTGGTAAGAAGTATGAATGTGTACAACAGTAATTTTTGTGATATTAACGTGGCCTACTCTATGTGGTTTCATGTTAAGAATGCTTAGACCTACTCTACATGAGATACAGGTAAATTTGAGTAGTTTTAGAGTGAACTTCGCATTTTGATTATTAGCAGTTTTTCCTCAATGGTAGTCTTCTTGGAACCATGTATCATGATACCAAGGGTCTATTGTAGTTATTTTATTTTTTAAGGAAAATAATACCATATTTAAAAAGCCACAAAAATAATACTGATGTTTCTCTTATGTCTTTTACCCAGATTCCTACATTTAATCACATCTGCTTTAACATTCTGTCAGTATATTTGTATGCTAAAACTGTCTTTGAAGTCAAATCATAAATGTTGAGATTTCATCTATTGATTATATTACTTCAGTTTCTTAAATGTTACTCATACACTAGCATCCACTAATAAAAAGAGACAATTCCTGTTCCAACAAGCTTTTTGTTTAGTGGCAGTTGAGTATGTGGATACAAGAAGTCTTGACTGAAAATAGAAATTTGGAATCCCTTTACTTTAAATGATAGTTGAAGTTGCTGTGGGCATGTGTAAAGCGAGCTAAAGAAAACAGTAAGAAAAGAAGATGGTCTGGTGAAAGGGGTGAATTCAACTATGATACATTGTAAGGACTATTGTATATATCACAATGTACTCCCAGTATAATAACAATAATACAAAAATAAAAAAAGAAAAGAACAGAGCCCAGACAGTCTTGGGAAATGCTAACATATAAGAGTGGGGGGTGATTCTGAAAAAGAAACATTAGATGAATAGAAAGAAAACAAGGAGCCTGTACATAGCTTTTGTTAACAACCCTAAAACACATGCTGTCAAGATCAGTGGGTGCATTTTGTTCTTTATTATAGGATAAGTCATTTAGTGACTTATTTCACAAGGTAGGCGTTTAGTACTTACTGGCCTTTCTTTGTCCATTTAAGAAATTACAATGAGAATACTATTTATCCCATTCAAAATTTATTGACAAGCTGATTATAAATGAAGTGAAAATGTGGGAAAGCAAAAGACACAATAGTCAGCACAATTGAATGAGAACAAATATGGACTAATACTAACTGACTTCAAGATTTATTATAAAGAAACAATCAAGACAGTGTGATATGCAGTGAGAATACTTGTTCACAGTTAGTCTTTGACTAATTATGATGATTGTTTAGAAGAATGGCTGTTGTATATTAGAAAATGGTTTCATCTTAGGGATTTTTTTTTTTCTCATGCTGTCATTGATTTGTAAGATGTGTGGAGATAAAAATGCTTATGGTTAGGATTGGTTTATTTTGCTTTCTAGTACAAATTGCCTGTGCACACAGAGATCAGTTGGAAAACAGATGGCAAAATCATGGCTCTTGGAAATGAAGATGGGTATGTGGTTTTTTTCTTTAAAAAAAAATAATAATAAATTTTATAATTGCACTTTTTTTTTTAATCACGAGATAACTAATGCTATCTATAACGTTAATCAGGGAAGCCCAGTTATGTTGGTATTGTGATTTATCCTTAATACCCTTAACTGAGCTAAGAGCTCTCTCGTCTTTGAGAGCTACAAAATTATTTGGGTATTTTCAGTTCAAAGATAGTGTTTGGCTATAATGTGTTTTGCCTCACAAAATGCTTATCTCTACATTAAGCTGCTTATGTCTCCCATTTGCTTTTCAAGTAGGTACAGGTAGAAGTCCTTTTCCGGTCTCACTATATCTTATCCAATTTAACCATAATGTCCTTGTTCAGACACTAGTTCATTTTAGCTTCTTTTCCCTAGCACCATTTATTACAAATGCCTGGTAAGCACAGCTTTCCAGAAATTGTTAGAATTTTAGCTAATATCGTTTCTTACCTGGTTCTTTTCTTTCTGCTTTCCTTTTTTGAGACAGGATTTCATTATATAGCCCATGTTGGCTTTAAACTTGCTACATAGCCTAGGCAGTTCTCAAACTCGTGATCCGCTCTCCTCACCCTTCCAAGTTCAGGGATTACAGGCATGTACCACCATAGCTAGCCTCATACATGGTTCCTTGAAGGGAATGACCTCTGAAGATTTGAAGGGGTTTTCCTATTTTATTTCACTTTCCCTGTACTGATGGAATAAGGGAGGTGGCTATTTGCATTGGACTGTAGTTTGATCTTCCATGTTTTTTATTCCAGATCAATAGAAATATTTCAGGTTCCCAGCTTGAAACTGATCTGCACCATCCAACAGCATCACAAGCTTGTGAATACCATTGCCTGGCACCATGAGCATGGCAGCCAGCCAGAGCTGAGCTATCTGATGGCCTCTGGTTCCAACAATGCAATCATTTATGTGCACAATCTGAAAACTGTCCTAGGTAATTTTGGTTTTTTCCACACTGGGAATGATACGTGTTCAGCTACTTTTCCATTCTGGTCTTTATAAGTTTTTATTTTTAGCATTAAATATTTTCCTCCTGCTTCTAAAAATAACATGCTTATCTTACTTTAAAAATTCTTTCAAACATTACAAAAATATCATCTTAGAAAATGAGGTTTCCCCTCTAATCCCATCCCTAAGGAAAAATCAGTGTTATTAGTTCACTGCATATTTCCTCAAGATTTTTAAGGCATTTATTAACCTGCATACGTATGTGTGATAATACATAGGTTTGCATTTTTATGTATTTATATGAGAGAATGGTGTTGTGTACCTGGCTAAAAAGAAATCACTAGAAAAGTAGCTCAGTAGGTAGGTAGGTTGATAGATAGAATACTGCTTACAATTTTTCTTCCTTATATTTAAAACATATATAGGATACCTTCTTAATGTTAATACATGAAGATTTTATTAACAAATATCTGTTCATTCCTTTATACGTACATATATATATGTGTATATATATGTGTATATATATAATGGAATATATGTGTGTGTGTATATATATATATATATATATATATTATATAGCATAATTTATCCATTCTATAAATGATTTTGTTTCTTTTTGGCCTTTTTTTGAGACAGGGTCTCATTATGTAGCCCAGGCTGTCCTCAAACTCACAATCCTCCTGCCTCAGCCTCCTGAGCACTGGGATTATAAGCATGTACTACCATGCCCAACTAAATTATTTATTTTTCACAATTTAATGTTACTATGAACATTCTTGAACACATATAGTAATATGCCCACATTCTTAGCTGCTAGACTACTAAAAATCACCTAGATCTGACAAAACCTAGATGTGAACTCCATTAACACCTTCATGTATGTTCTTTCTTTGTTTTGCATTGTTATTGATTATTGTAACATCTTCCCCTTGCTTTTAGAGAGCAATGCTGAGTCTCCAGTGACCATTACAGAACCCTACCGGACTCTCTCAGGACATACAGCAAGGATTACTAGTTTGGCGTGGAGCCCACATCATGATGGAAGGCTGGTATCTGCTTCCTACGATGGTACAGCCCAGGTAATATTGTGTCCTTAACCCTATGGCTTCTTGACTGTGTACCCTAACTTGAACTCTAGCCTCTGTCCATTAAATTGTAGACATGTTTTCCTTCCCCCACCCTCATCTTCTGTAGAAAGAGATCATCTAAGTTCTAGAAGGCATTTAGGTTTATCTGGAGCCTCAGTAGACTTAAAAGTCTGGGTTTATAAGTAACAAAAGTGAAAGTTATTGATAAATAGTAAAACTCTTGACATTTTTACAGGTTCATTCTGACTTACTATGACTATCCTGGACTGAATTGATGTGAAAAAGTCTCTCTCTTGTTCAAGTATAGAAATGTTGACTAATCACAGAAACTTTTGGTGTTTTGAGACAATGTCTTGCAGTGTAGCCCAGGCTGACCTCAAACTCTTGGTCCTCTTGAACCTCAGTCTCTGAGTGCTGGGGTTATAAACATGTACCACCACAGCTGCCAAAAAAAAGAAAAAAAATTAATTACAAAATTGTTAAGTCAGAAGTCACCAAGTTCTAAAAAATAAAGATGAAATGCCAAGCCAGAGCTATAAGGTAGGAGTGTAATATATCAGAACGTGATTGCCTTTAGCAACTGGAGAATTGACATCTGTAATGAATGTCTGACTCAGTGTTGTTGTTAGTGAGCTCTTTGTACAAGTCTGGGAGACATGAAGGAAGGGCTGACTTCTGTAAAATGGACACCAGGATAATTCAAGAACTAACAAGAAAATTGATCATTTGTCCAGGGACTTCAAGAAAAAAGAATTAATCTGTGAGTCAGACACTATTGGCTCACACCTGTAATCCTAGTTACTTGGAAGCTGAGATTGGAAGGATATGGTTCAAGGCAGTCCAGGAAATAGTTTATGTGACCCCATCTGTAAAATAACCAGAGCACCACAAGCAGGTGGCCCACATCTATAATCTTAGCTACTCGGGAGGCAGAGATAAGGAAGATCATGGTTTGAAGCCAGCGTGGGCAAATAATTCATGAGACCCTATCTTGAAAATACCCAACACAAAACAGGGCTGGTGGAGTGGCTTAAGTGGTAGAGTGCCTGCGTAGCAAGCATGAAGCCCTGAGTTCAAACCTCAGTACCACCAAAAATAATAATAATAATAAACAGCAAAGTAAACTGCAAGTGTGGCTCAATCAGTAGAGCTTCTGCTTTGTAAGAATGAAGCCCTGAGTTCAAACTCCAGTCCCACCAAAAAAAAAAAAAAATCTCTGAGAAATTAGAACTCTAATTTCGAATTAAATGTGGCTATTTTCTTCATCATACCAAAACCCAGGCCAACTTTTTGTTTGTTCGTTTGAGACAAGATCTCACTATATATTTGTTGCCCAATCTGGCCTGGAACTCTTGAGCCTTAGCCTCCTGCACACTAAGATTATAGGCATGTACCACCACAGCTACCCAGGCCAAATATTAACTCACAGTTCTAGCTTGGGACAGTGCAATCCATAGGGCACCAGTAGAAGCCCATTCACAATTACCCTCATGGTTGATGGGAATGTCTGTACAACCCAAAGTATATAATCCTTCCATAGGAAATAGTAACATCTGCCATTGAACCCCTAAGAGAAAAGTTACAAATCACAGGAGGAAATAAAAGCTTGAAGTATTTTTGTGTTGGTTTGGGGGGTTTTTGTTTGCTTTTTGTTTTTTTAGTATCTTATGCCCCTGAGACAATAAAATAACTAGAAATTGTTCTGTCACATGGCATTTGGTTTCAGGTGTGGGATACTCTCCGTGAAGAGCCTCTATGCAATTTCCGAGGACATCGAGGCAGACTGCTTTGTGTAGTATGGTCCCCGTTGGATCCAGATTGCATCTACTCAGGGGCAGATGACTTCTGTGTGTACAAATGGCTGACCTCCATGCAGGATCATTCCCGGCCTCCTCAAGGTCAGTCAGAATGTAGCATCTATAAAATGTTTCCCTGATTCTTGCTCTCTTCCATAGTAATTGAGTTTCCAGGGTCAAGCAAGGGACACATTCACACAGAGCAGCAGCATCAATATGGCTGGAGTCAGCAGCTTAAACAAGACTTGAGGGGACCAAGATAATACAGCCTATCAACACACCCAGATCCTGGTTTCTAAACAGCGTTCTTCACTAAACAACTCCAGAGGTTCTTTGGGAAATGGAAGAACTGGGATATCATCGTCAGAAAGGAAAAAGATGCTCATAGGAGTTCTATACATCCAGAACACAGGGAAATAATATCGTCTGAAATTGAACTCTGAGAAGCAAAGTTATAATTCAACAGTCATAGTAACAATTTTTAGTCAAGAAACATCAGTGGATACTGAAACTAGTGAATGCAAATATTCAGTAATTAAACAGGGAAATACTTTTTCAGGAAGTAAACTACAATATACCTTCTTAATCAGGTGATTAAAGTAAACTAAACAGTGGGATAAATAAAAAAACAAGTGCTGCCTTGTAGGCCGCCCTGAGATGAACACAGCATCACTTCTGTGTATTCCAGCTAGAAAATCTATGAAATCTAATAAAAAACATCAGGGAGATGGAAACATCAGGAAGTCGTAAATATCTTTGGGTGATTTTGTTTTTGTTTTTTGTTTTTTTTGTCATTACTGGGGGGTTTGAACTCAGGGCTTTGCACTGGCTAGGCAGTTGCTCTACCACTTGAGCCACACTTCAGCCCCAAAAGAACTCATAATCTTCATGTGTGATATCATCAAAGTCAAAGGAATACAGCAACTGTTACAGGATGAAGGGAACTAGAAAGGTATGACAGCCAGATGCAATGCATGATTCTGGATTGATTCCTTTTGTTATAAAAGACAGTGCAACTGGTGGAATTTGAGTAGATTGTGTGGAGTAGACTAGTAATTTGTCTATATTAATTTCCTGACTTCCGTGGTTGTACTGTATGATGTTAGAGAATGTCCTTGTTTGTAAAATAAACACTAAAGTATTCAGGAGTAATGAAATCCCAAAAAGGTTTGGTTAACAGTGTGATGATACTTAGAAAAGAAGGGAAAGAGAATAAGAAGACTTTCAATCAAGAATATATATTTTAATGTATACTTTTTTATTCTGGTTTTTGTAGGCAAAAAAAGTGTTGAATTAGAGAAAAAACGGCTTTCTCAACCTAAACCAAAGCCCAAAAAGAAAAAAAAGCCCACCTTACGAGTACCTGTAAAGCAAGAATCATTTGATGGGAATGAAGAAGAGAGCATGAAGGAGAACTCAGTTCCTGTTGAGAATGGGGTGTCAGACCAGGAAGGCGAGGAGGAAGCACAGGAGCCAGAGTCGCCCTGTGGCCTTACGTCAGTGGGTATGTGCAGAATCCTGTGTTTCACTAACTAAAGATTTTGTCTTGTGTAGAAAATAAGCTCAGTCCTTACTCGGTTTGAAACTTCTCTGCCACTGACCTGCCTAATTTCCCAACTCCTTAACTTAGGTGGTTATATCTTCAGTGTCTCTGGAACCCATATTAATTTTCTTTAAAACTTTAAGTCTCGAAAATGAACACCTTTGAAATGTTTAAGAAGATACAGTAAGTGATTATGGTGGAAATAGTAAAGTTCTGTAGAAAAAAACTTGTTAATCAAATGGGCAGGGTAAGATCATGGGGCAAGGTTAAACTAGGATAGTGTGCACATCAAAACTTACATGGAAAATGTTTTTTAACAGTGTTGACATTATCAGCAACATGTATTGAAAGAAACCACTGTCCTTTTTTCTGGTGTTAGAAGCTACTACTTTGATGGGAAATTGCAAATTCTCACTCCTCCTACCTAAAGTTCATTCCCAGCATTCTATTTTCTCGGGGGGAAAAAAAATATGAACAGTAATCAAGTTCTTCTAGTGAGTTAAACTGTAGTAGCAGTTCTCAGATTTCTCACAACACAGATTTCATCACTAATTTTCCATAATGAATTCTAGTTCATGTGGAAGAGACAGAACTATAATTAGATAAAACAGCACTTTTATCTTGTATATATTAATCTTAAACATATTGTGCTTATTACCTATCAAAATGAATGATTAAATATCAGACAGTATAAGTAGAAGATGTGATTTATACTTAATCCTAAAGCAATATTTTGATGTGACAAAATTGAAGTGACCAAGGTATGTCTGACTCTCTATCCCAAAGAATGGCTATTGGACTCAGAAGTTTGGATAAATAAAGCTTCTTAGATTTATGTGGCCTTTGTAGCATAAAATGGCTATACCAAATAGCCTTCAACCTGTAGAAAAAGTTTGTTCAGGATTGTGACTCTGTATAACATTTAATATTCTCTATTAGTAAAGTTATTCCTTGTTCGTATAATTAAATATGCAATTAACACTTGGTGACCTAAATATATAAAAGGTACCTTTTTACAAAGTTTGAGGATTTCTGGTCCTATGGTATAAAGTTGAAGAGACTGGAAGTTTATGATTTTCCTTGGTCAAACTTTGGAATAATAGACTTAAATTCCTAAAATAAAGTCAATTAGTGAGATGGGGGGAGACTACTCATGCTTCCTTTGCAAAGCATGGTAGGAATAGGTAAAACTGAATTGCTAGACCTGGTAAAACTCTTCATTTTTAAAAACAATTATTCTGTTATTATTACTGTTATTATTATTGTGCTGGGCGGGGGTACATTGGGGTATTTGCAAAAGTTCTTACAATGTATCAAATATGTCATACTTGAATTTACCCCCTTCACTGCTCTCTTTCATTCCCCTATACCCCTCCCCCGCAACCCCCTGATTCCCAGAACAGTCCCAGCAGGTATCATTTTTGTATTTACTGAGACACATACACACCTTCTCCAGACAGAACCTGTTCCACCCTCTTATTCTCCTGTTTTGTAGAAGAAAAAACAAAAGATAATAAAAAATAGGGTGTTTTGCTAGTTTGAGATAAAAATAGCTACATAGGGAGATTCTTAAAAAATACAAAGAAAAAAATGGATGGCTGGGAGCATGGCTCAACTGATAGAGCACAATGTGAGGCCCTGACTTCAAACCCAGCAGTGCCAAAAAATAAAAAAATAAACAATTAGATTCTGCATGTTCTTATCCTAAACTCTTTTCCTTATTTTCCCCCATGATGTAGTTTCTAAAGAACCAATTATCTGCACTCCAGTTTCCTCAGGCTTTGAAAAGTCAAAAGTCACTATTAATAACAAAGTTACTTTACTGAAAAAGGACCCACCTAAGGAGAAGCCAGGTCAGTATCAAATAATTAAAATATTTTATTAAAGCATGAAAAAATTACATACAACTGAAAACTCAAAAGTACATATTTGTTTTTGTACTTTAAATAGTTATAGGTATTCTGATTATGTTTCAGTTTCAGGTAATGTTTTTTGTGGTTTTTTTAGCACTTCATAAAATGTTTTACAGTTATTTATATTGCTTCATAAACATTAGCAAGGGCATTTCATATGTATTGTGACCCTTCGCCATCCAATGTAATCTAGGAGTGAGAACCTTGTATGCCCAGTGGAATCCCTCCAGTAGGTTACATCTACACAATAGGCATTCATTCCATTTTGTTTCTGATCTCTTCTTCAGATAGTGTGCACTTTTATTATATTTCAGAAACCTCAGTCAAGAAGAGAAAAGCTCGTTCCATGCTTCCTCTGAGTACAAGCCTGGACCACAGGTCCAAAGAGGAACTTCATCATGACTGTTTGGCACTAGCAACTGCAAAACACTCCAAAGGTACAATAATGCACTTCCTTGACCCATCCACAGTCTTCTGGGGACTAGCATATAAGGGGTGCTTACTTATTGGTTCAATGAATGAGCAAACTAATGTCTAAAATAAATTATCTGCATTTCTGCATTCTTTTCCAGCCTTTATGCTCTTCTTTCATCCCTACACCTTGCTGCCAAACTCCCCATTCTGCCCTTGTCAGCCCTGCCCAATGCTTTGGAATGTTTCTTTTATCATTCTGTATCTAGTTGCTACCAGCCATCTATATGTCAGAATTGGTATGTTGGCTTAAATATCTCAGCATAAAATTAGCCCCTTCCACTATTTTCCCCTACTGAACAGTGAGGTAGAAAAAAATTGAAAATATACCCACAATGTGACAGTTCCTTTAAAATACTTGTTGGAAGCTTTGTTTATGGGGAGTTTTTTGATTTTTGTTTTTCAAAGCCATTGATGTAGATCATATTGATATTTGAGCATCTTCCTTTCTTCCTACTTTCCTGCCTCTTTTCCCTTCCTCCCTCCCTCCCTCCCACTATATTGGAGGTTGAACTCAGGGCCTCCTGCTTGCTAGACAGGCACCCTACAGCTTGAGCCATTCTGCCAACCTGTAATTTTTTTATTTTAATTTTGAACTTAATATGTTGAAAAGTGTTGCATGTGATAAGATGAAATTCAAACAGTTTAAAAAGAAAGCAAATTTCCTTTCCACCCCTGACACCCAGTCCTCCACTTCTCTCTGGAGACCACACTCTTACCGGTTTCTTGTGTCTTGCTAGAGGGTATTACATGATATTTTTTTACATATAAACTTTTTTTTTGGACTTTTGAGATGACTTCCTATAATGTATACAATTAGCAATATAGTTTTACATTATTTCTCTTATTGAAAACTAATTTAACTTTTTAAAAAGCAGAGAGTAAATATTGGTCCCAGTGAATAACTAAGAACATTCTTAATAGTTTTTGTTTACTTGTTTGTTGCATCATTTAAATATATGTTGAATTTTGGGTTCTCTTTCAGCATTTTCCCCCCAGATCTTTCTTTGAGCAAGGTACAAATTATATTGTCTTATTGAATTTTGCCCAAACCGAGTTTAAAAAACTCTTTGTTTCCTAAAGTAGGAAACCAGACAGAAAACAGTAACATATGTAATGACTTCATATATAATATATACATATTTTTTTGTCATTTTAAATTAATAGAGCTAAATGAGGATGTGTCTGCTGATCTTGAGGAACGATTTCACCTGGGACTTTTCACAGACAGGACTACCCTGTACAGAATGATTGAAACTGAAGGTGAGTCATAATCTCATCCACCTCCATACTTCCCTAACATTTATATGCAATCTAGTGGTAATTGTTAGGTTACTTTTACATGTTTACAAATATACATCTGACTTGTATACTCATATACATCCCTTGAACCTTAACCACTCACTGTTCACTCTGACTGACTGGCGAGGTGCAAACTGAAGGTAGTTGTGTGGACCAGTGACCAAGTGGGCTTCTGGCCTATTAATGTCATTCTGGTAGATAACTTACCCAGCAGTGCATTCACTTCATATTTCCTCTCCTTCACTCTGCCTTTCTTTTTCCTAGAAGTCAGTAAAAATAAATAATTTCTGAAGCATCTTTCAAACATTATCTCTCTTCCAAACAGGAAAAGGTCACTTGGAAAATGGCCACCCTGAATTATTTCACCAGCTCATGCTTTGGAAAGGAGACCTAAAGGGTGTTCTCCAGACTGCAGCAGAAAGAGGAGAACTGACAGACAATCTTGTGGCTATGGCACCTGTAGGTATGTTCTTTTCAATAAAAGTATCATTGTCGTCATCTCTTGGATATGTCCACTATCTCTTAGCAGTACTAGTCTTAATCTTAAATTAATCGCTTACAAATTCAGTTAAATACAAAGCTAATTCTGTGGAGCAATAGACTTAACTAATACATCAGCCCAACCCCCTATAAAAATGCACATACTTTAGTGGCAAAAATATAATTGCTGATGTATTCTTCCATTCTGTGTAATTAAACAGACTGCCTTGAAGCTGAGTACTTTCTAAGGGGGTTTGTTCAGCTAATAGTTCTCAAGGTTCATGAGCATAGTGCCAGCACCTGCTCAGCTCTGACAAGAGCCTCCTGATCAATAGCATCACAGTGGTAGGAGTGCAGACAAAATAGAAAACACAGAAGAAGCCAGACACCAGGGAAGTCCAAGCTAACTTTTTGAGGACCTTGGGAGGTACTGCAGATTGAACCTAGGGCATAATGACTGTTAAGTACATACTACCACTGAGCTACACCCCCAGCTTTTTTTTTTTTTTTTCAATAAAAATTCACTCTCCTAGGAAGTAGTCCACTCCACAAGATGAACATGAATCTTTTTCAGGTGCACACCCTCCCTACCCCCGCCCTGTGACCTAATTACCTTCCACTAGGCCCCTACTCTTAAAAGTCTACAACACTTTTTGGGCTTGTGGCATGACTCAAATGGTAGAACACCTGCCTAGCAAGCAAGTGGCCCCTGAACTCAAACCCCAATACCACAAAAAAATTCCAACACTTTTCACTTTCACACTGCCACACTGGAGACTGAACCTCTGGAGGACAATTTGACCATGTCATGAATTTTAGCATGGCTGTAACTTTTGGCTCAGTGGTTCTAATTATAGGAATTTATCTAACTGTATATGTAATAGCATAAGATTGCAAAAACCTCTATATCTTATCAATAAGAGAATGGTTAAGCCAGGCACCGGTAGTGGCTTATACCTATAAGCCTATAAGTCTTGAAGACTGAGATCAGGAAGATCACAATTCCATGCCATTCTGGGCAAAAAAAAAAAAAAAAAAAAGTTCACAAGACCCCCCTGGGAAAAAAAGGTGGACATGAGAGCATGCACCTATAATCCCAGCTACAGCAAGAAGCATAAAATAGAAGATCGAAGTCCAGGCTGGCCCAGGGAAAAAGCAACATCCTATCTCAAATAACCAGAGCAAAAAGGGCTGGAGGTATGGTTGCCTAGCAAGCACAAAGTTCAAACCCCAGTACCACCAAAAAAAAAGCGGGGGAGACTGGTTAAATCATGTATATTCACACAGTGGAAACTCCTATATATACCAAAAGATGAGGTAGCTCTGTACATTGTATTCTGGCACAGAGTGGAGCGCCAGAGTATAGAAAGTGAAGAGATTCATAGTGTTGGTGCACAGCAGAATATTTAATGCTTGCTTGTATTTACACAATACTGTGGTTGTATATTGATAAACTATTTTCAAAGGTTCCAAAAGAAACTGATAATCATGGCTACCTAGAAGGAAAAGAATTTGAGCAAAGTGTGGCTGGAAGGTACCAAGACAATAAGGAAACCTTTTATGCCATGTCCTGTTCTGTAGCTTTTTATTCAAGGATGCTACACAGAGAAAGAATGAGCACGAGTGTACAATGAATTTCCAAACAATATACATCATGTACAACAGCACCCAGGTCAAGAAACATAACATTTCCAACATTCTGTAAGTTTACCTTACACTCCCTTCTGGTTGCTGTCACCCCTGCCCCAAAAAGGGTGACAATTTTACTGATTTCATACTTTTTCAGATCTTTTGAACTTTTTACTCTTTTGTAGGATATAGTCAAAGAAACAATTTATGTTTCAGAATGCTGGTATGGGGTAAGCAAAACAGATGATCTACAATGGCAGTTGAATTAGTAGCTAAGTGCTCTGTGTAATGCAGTAACTATGAAAAATTTTTTTATATTGTTTTTTAGTGGGAGTGGGTTTGAACTCAGGGTTTTGTGCTTGCAAAGGAGGCACTCTACCATTTGAGCCACACCTCCAGTGTACTTTTGTTCTAGTTATTTTGGAGATGGGGCCTCTCAAACTATTTGCCTGGATAGACCTTGAACTGCAGTCCTCCTTATCTCAGCTTCCTAAGTAGCTAGGATTACAGCTTAGGCACCACTGGCTCCTGGCAAGACATTTAACCCAAGTGTACCTGCTTCCCTCCCACCCCCAACCCCCTTTCTTTCTTAAACCATTATCTTTCATTTTTTCAGCTGGCTACAATGTGTGGCTGTGGGCTGTGGAGGCCTTTGTGAAACAGCTATGTTTCCAGGATCAGCATGTCAAGGCTGCCTCCCATCTCCTTTCCATCCACAAAGTGTATGAAGCTGTGGAGCTCCTCAAGTCAAACCACTTTTACAGGTTTGTATGGTCCAAGATTTGAGCCACTGGTTGGGACATAATGTAAATTTTTCTGCCCAGCCTGTTTTGTAATGGTTGCTTTAGAGTTTATGGTGAGCATTTTAATTTATCAGTTTACTTTCAAATAATACTGTTCTGCTTCTTGTATGCACTATGCTTCTTTCATTCTTCCCATTCCTTTTGCTATTGTCATATATTTAACATGTTACACTTGTTGTACCTCCATGTTAACCTTAGTATTTTTGCTTTAGACAGTCATCTTTTTAATACTTAATAATTTTAAGCATTTTTGTGTATTTACTCATCTGCTTATTATTTCTAGCACTTCTCATTCTTTTATGTAGCTCAGATTCTCCAGTTACTACCAATTCCTTCACTTGAAAAAACTCAACATTTTTGTTTTCTAGTATGTTCTGGTGACACACTGAACTGTTGTCTGTCTATAAAAGTCTATTGATTTCACCTTCATTTTTAAAGAATCTTTTCGCTAGGTACAGAATTCTAGATGGAAGTTTTTGTCTTTCAGTGTTCCAAAGATACTGTATGTTCTCTTTTACAATTTTTTACTTGACTTTTTTTTCCTGTTGTCTCAAGGCCTGGTTGGTCTTGAACTCATGATTCTCCTGCCTCAGTTTCCCCAGTGCTTGAACTACAGGCATGTGCTCACCACACCCAGCTCCAGCACTTTTTGTCTTTGTTATGTAGGAACTGATAGGAGGGGTTGTTTTGTTTTCTGTTCTTTTCTTTCTGTTTTTAGGACTTTCTCCACTAATTTTCAATAATTGGTATGGTGTAGTTTGGTGAGATTTTCTTTTTGCTTATCTTGTTTAAGTTTTATAGCTTTCCTTTTGTATTGAATAATATTTTGTCAAGTAATAACGTTCCTTGCGGGTGACCTTGAACTTTTCATGACTTGTTTTTTAAACTTCATTAGGGGAGGCTTAGAGAATTCCATATTGTGGAATTAGTTTGGCCTTCCTGCTTTTTGGTGTCTTTATTGGATGCCTGTGCATTCAACAAAACAAATAAAGATGTTTCCAAACTCTGAGTAAGGTCTGAGAATTATGCATTTTATAGTTCCCTCATTATTCTTTGTTTAGCCTTAAAGAGTTTCCTCTATTTCCAAGGCTTTGAATTTAACCAGAGACTCAATAGGATCTCTAAGCAGAATGCTAGCAATCTTTCTCTGGACAGCTTCTTCCTTTCTAGTTTCCTACTCCTCAAATTCCAGTCATTCCATCTCTCTTCAACTTGGAGACTGCTGTGGCTGCACTTAGAAAAGCGGCTTTAAGCAGAAAGCCAGTGTCATGAGAGGACTCACATGTCATCTCCCCAGGACGACAGTTCTGTACTGCCTGTTGTCTCAAATCTAAAAACATTTGCTTCAGGACTGGAAGTATAGTTCCCGTGGTAGAATGCCTGCCTGGCAAGCACCAAACCCTAAGCTGAAGAAAAAAAAATTGTTTCATACATATTTTGTATAGTTTTGTAGCTTTAGGTATGAGGAAAAGTCTAGTCCCTTTACTCCATTATAGCTAGAAGTAAGAGTTCAAAGTAAATATTAAACATTGTTTTTTAATTATTAAATACTGCCCTCTTTAGATCACTTTTATTCCACCTATGAGTTTTTATTGGCTCCAACTCAAAACTTACATGCCATTTGGAAAATATTAGTTCACTGAATAGTATAGATCTTCCAAATGCTGACACTTTTCATTATAAAATATCAAAAAAAAAAAAAAACCCATGTTCCTTAATATCACTGATAGTCTCATCATAAAAGTTGTTAACTTTTGAAAAGCCATCAAACTCCCAGTGGCAGATACAAGTTTTCTAAAAGTTTCCTTCTTAGTAGAGTTTTTTTATTTGGCTTGGTTTAGGATTTTTTGTTGATTTGAGGTGTTTTTGTTTTTGTTTTATGGTACTGAGGATTGAACCTGACCCAGAAAAGTCAGCTTTATTATTGGCAAAATATTGTTGGATATTTTCCATGAAGTAACAGGCTTACTTTGTTCATTTTTGAGAAGATGTCTGTCAAGTATTGAACACTAAATAACTGAGTTTTTTTTTTTTAAAAAAAGAAATGAGATTCCATGAAGAAAGCAGCTAGTTCAGCTTACAGTTCATTCATACAAGTTTTCCTAGTAACAACCATCATACTTTGGAATGCAAGAGAGAACACAGAATGTACTTGCCATTTTGTCACATAGAATATTAAGATGTTGGCCTGAAGGATTTAATTTTTTTTTTAATATAAATTAGGGCCACTACCTTGATAATTTTTTTTGAGATAGAGCTTCACCATATAGCCCAGACTGGCTTCCAATTGTCATCCTCCAGCATCACCCTCCCAAGTGCTAGGATTACAGGCATGTGCTGGCTAACGTACTTAATTCTTGCTTTCTTGCTTAAATGTCAGCAGTCTTACCCACTATTGCTGTTGAACAATCAGTGCAAATGTAAATACAGTTTTAAAAGGCAAGTTAACCCTGGCATTATTATGAAAATAGTTTTGACCCTGAGGATCCATAGACCACACTTTAAGAACTGTTGATCTGGTGAAGAATGAAATGGAGCATGATTTTAATTTGCCTGTGTAGTAGAGAGGCAGGGTTTTTTTAGGAAGTTAGAATGAGACAGACAACATAAAAGGGACAGTTTGTCCTGTCTTGCAACCCCTCTTAGGGCCTCTTATAGAGGAGCCATTTCAAATTTGCTAAAGTATCTGTTCTTGCCTTTAGAGAAGCTATTGCAGTTGCCAAGGCTCGGCTGCGCCCAGAAGACCCAGTCTTGAAGGACCTGTACCTCAGCTGGGGAACCATCTTAGAAAGAGACGGCCATTATGCCATAGCAGCCAAATGGTAAGCAGAGAGCAATACAGTGCTCCCAAACATAAAAGGGCCTTAGCCAGGAAGAACAGGACAAGAACAAAAGTACTAAGCTTGGGAATAGATGTAAAATAGCTAGAAAATTTTAAAAGATGTGTATATTAAATCCAGCTTCATAGATCTTACCAGGTTCTAGCTCCTCAGTACTTTTATAAATCACTTTAACCATTCAAGAAGTCTCAGTAGCAGACTAAGAAATTACACTTTTTTTCTAGTGATACTATCAAAATGTTGACTTGAAGGATTTAGAAACATTATTTTTTACTGATTCAAGGGCATTGAAGGAGAATGAGAGGGATTGATTTCTGTTTGTATTCCCTCTCTCTTACACTCTGCTGGGCTGTCCTGGCTTCGGCCTTCATAGGAGCAACCAGACATAGGGACACCTGGGGCCACAAGAAGACACATGCAGCAGTATACAGAACAAAGTGTTTCTGCCTGCTGGAGAGGGAACAGAAGATCTGTTTATGACTCTGTTTTGGGTTTTTATTCATTTTACAGCTATTTAGGGGCTACTTCAGCTTATGATGCAGCCAAAGTTTTGGCCAAAAAGGGAGATGCAGCATCACTTAGAACGGCTGCAGAGTTGGCTGCAATTGGAGGAGAAAAAGAGTTGTCTGCTTCCCTGGCTCTCAGATGTGCCCAGGAACTACTTCTGGCCAAGAATTGGGTGGGGGCCCAGGAAGCCTTGCAGCTGCATGAAAGTCTACAGGTCAGTCTGTTCATTCATATCCTGGTGTTTAAGAGGAAAGGGTTCAAAATCTTTTTCTAGTCAAACCCAAGTGAATAACCCCAGCTGCACAAATTACCAATTTGGCAAGTATCCTTAGTTTTCAGCAAGCCCTGGTCATGCTATCCACTGAAATTCTTTGCCTTGTTAGTTGCCATATTCAGAATAAGAGATGGGAGGTAGCGCAAACAATGTATACACATGTAAGTAAATGTAGAAACAATAAAAGGAGAAAAAAAACCATCTAAGTTATATATATATAAGAGATATGTGGTCATTCACAGTAATTCCTGTTGCTTATGAGTTTGCCTAGCTCTTGAGATGCAGTCTAGTGTTTCTGCATTGATGCCATCAGCGTCATCTTCCTTGAAGGGAGAACATTAGCACCCTCTAACAAAAATTGTGATGGTCTGTCCATAATACCCCTCTTCAGCTGTAAGCTATAAAATAAAACTGTGGGAAAATAGTAATGTTTTATTACTTAAACAAGTATTTATTCCCATCTGGCTAAAAATGAGTAACTGGACCAGAGATGTAGTTCAGTGGTAGAGTACTTGCCTATCGTGTTCAATCTCCAGCACTGCTAAGGATAATAATTTTTATTATTATTATTAACTGTTCCCTTTCTTATTAGTATATATTAATTGTACAAAATAATGGGTTTTGTTGTCACATTTTCATACATACATTTGCTCTCTCCTACTCCCCACCACTGATTTTTTTGGACACATCAGAATTCAGATTGCATTTAAAGCTTTGGCACTCTTGCCTAGTTTCCAAAGTGTGTACACATTTGGCCCATTTCAGATGACTTTGCTTGTCAAATACTGACACAAGCTTTTTAAGTTTCTCTTTCCTAGCACAGTAACTAGGCCAAAAGACAGTTCGTAGCTGAGTATTCACAGCCCAAGGAAAATGCATAGGTGAAGAGGTGCTCTCTGGGAACAGCAAAATAAAAAATGGAGGCAAAAATAGTACATTCTGAAAAAGATAGTACTGGGTGTATTATTCATAAAACGACCAAATCTGGAAAGTTTCTTATCCATAAACAAGCCTTCTAGAATACTTCTTTAGCATTTCATTTCTTCTCTTAAACAACACTCTTAGTAAAGTGAAAAAGCTTAAAACCTTATGTTAAATATTCTGATAGGGTCTATTTTGATTGTACAACATGAGACTTGTCCAAGCTTAACTGAGGAAATATTATAGGGGGAACACAAGGCGTCTCGTGGCAACTGAAAACCCAGCAAAAATAAAGATTGTCCAGAGCTTTTCTCTGCTTTTGTTCTGCAGTCATTTCCCTGTCACATCTACTGGGGCATGGCCTCTGTTGGGTGTTTGTCTGCTCCAAGCACCTTCGGCTCATTATGTTTACTTTTGTATTCCTCATTCAGAAGTTTGGAGAGGGAGAAAGAACCAGATGAACACAGCTCATCTTTTCTCAAACTGGGCCACAAGTCTTGGGTAGCTGGCCTATATGTGACTTAAATTGTAGTGAGTACCAAGCTGCAATTAAAGGCTCTGTGTTATTAAAAATGGTGTCTCAGTCGAGGAAGACTACAGAAGGTAGAGAGATCTCCCATGCTCATGGATTGGTAGAATCAGCATAGTAAAAATGGATCTACTACCAAAAGCAATCTACATGTTAAATGAAATTCCCATCAAAATCCCAATGACATTCATCACAGAGATTGAAAAATCTACCCTGAAGTTCATTTGGAAACACAAGAGACCGCAAATAGCCAAGGCAATACTCAGCAAAAAGAACAATGCTGGAGGTATCACAATGGCAATATTGTTTTTATTGCAATAGCAATAAAAACAGCATGGTACTGACACAAAAACAGACATGAAGACCAGTGGAACAGAATAGAGGACCCAGATATGAATCCACACAGCTATGCCCACCTTATTTTTGACGCGACAAAAATATACAGTAGAGAAAAGACAGCCTCTTCAACAAATGTTGCTGGGAAAAGTGGTTATCTGTCAGCAAAAAACTGAAACTAGATCCATGTTTATCACCCTGTACTAGTATCAACTCAAAATGGATCAAGGACCTTAATATCACACCCAAAACTCTGAAGTTAGTACAGGAAAGAGCAGGGAATACTCTGGAAGTAATAGGTATAGGAAAGGACCTCCTTAATAGAACCCCAGCAGCTCAGCAACTAAGAGAAAGGATGGACAAATGGGACTTCATAAAATTAAAAAGCTTGTGCACAACAAAAGAAATGGTCTCTAAGCTGAAGAGACCACCCACAGAGTGGGAGAAAATATTTGCCAACTATACATCAGACAAAGGACTGAAAACCAGAATATACAGGGAACTTAAAAAACTAAACTCTCCCAAAATTAATGAACCAATAAAGAAATGGGCAAGTGAACTAAACAGAACTTTATCAAAAGAAGAAATTCAAAGACAAAAAATGCTCACCATCTCTAGCCGTAAAGGAAATGCAAATCAAAACCTCACTTAGATTCCACCTATACCCCTGTTAGAATAGCCATCATCAAAACACCATCAACAACAGGTGTTGGTGATGATGGGGGGAAAAAGGAACACTTGTACACTGCTGATGGGAATGCAAGCTAGTGCAACCACTCTGGAAAAACATTTGGAGGCTTCTTAAAAATCTAAACATAGATCTGCCATATGATCCAGTAATCCCACTCTTGGGGATATACCCAAAGGAATGTGACACAGGTTACTTCAGGGGCACATGCACACCCATGTTTATTGCAGTGCTATTTACAATAGCCAAGTTATGAAAAGAGACAAGATGCCCCACTACTGATGAATGGATTAAGAAAATGTGGTATTTATTCACAATGGAATGTTACTTAGCCATAAAGAAGAATGAAATCTTATTATTTGCAAGTAAATGGATGGAACTGGAGAACATCATTCTGAGCGAGGTCAGCCAGGCTCAGAAGACCAAAAATTGTATGTTCTCCCTCATATGTGGACTTTAGATCTAGGGCAAATGCAGCAATGTTGTAGGACTTGAGCCACATGCTAAGGGGAGAGCACATACGGGAGGTATGGGAGTAGGTAAGAAACCCAAAACATGAAAGTGCTTGATGTCCCCACTGCCAAGGAACTAATACAGAAACCTTAAAGTGACAGAGGTCAATATGGGAAGGGGATCAGGAACTAGTGAAAAGGTCAGGTAGAGATAAATCAACTTGGGTTGTAACACATTTGTACATGGAAACAATGCTAGGAATCTCTCTGTATAGCTATCCTTATCTCAACTAGCAAAAACGCTTTGTCTTTCTTATTACTGCTTATGTCTTCTCTTCAACAAAATTAGAGATAAGGGCAGAACAGATTCTGCCTGGAAGTGGGGGGGGAGTAGGGTAGAAAAGGAGGGGGCAGGAGAGAGGAATGGCTCAAATAATGTATGCACATGTGAATAAACAAATACAAAAGTTTAAGAAAGAGGAAGTCCACCGTGGGCTAAACAACAGTTTTAGCCCAGGCCTGTGGGGTCCCACAATGCTCCTGATCTCTGGTTCATTTATTGTGTGTGAATATCATACTTGAGTAGCCAGTCCCCATGGTAGTGAAATGAGATGAAATATAGAGGGGCCACTGAGTAACATTGTACAATGTCTAAAAGAGCACTGACATAAGATAAGAGCAAGGTGCTAAAAGTCAAACTTCTCAGCTACAAAAGTCTCAAATTACTAGGAGAAGGGGGATAAAGGAGAATGATGGAGCAGGTGAATTTAACTAAAATACAGTGTAAGCACCTTTGGAAATGTCACAGTGTTCCCCCAGTGGAACAATAATATGATAATAAAAATTTTTAAATTAAAAAAAAAATGGTGTCTCAGGCTCCAGGGATAAAATTCTCCACAAAAGGTAGGCACCTGGAAATGCCTATCAGATCCTGCCTTTTTTTCCCTCACACATAGCTCAAATTGGGCAGTCAGTTCACTGTGAGGATGCAAAGGGGAATGCTTTGAAAACTGGGAGAACTCTCCATGTAATCCAAGCACTATCTCTTAACATCTCCTCTTTGTCGTTGGATCCCAGGGTCAGAGACTGGTATTTTGCGTCCTTGAACTACTGTGCAGGTATCTAGAGGAAAAGCAGTTTCCAGAAGGCAGAAGCTCCTCTTCTTACCACGCTTGGGCTACAGGCACTGAAGGGCTCTTCGTGCAGAGAGTGACTGCAGTGTGGAGGAGCATCTTCAGCCTTGACACCCCAGAGCAGTATCACACAGCCCTGCAGAAGCTGCAAAACATCAAGTACCCATCTGCTACAAATAACACTCCCTCCAAACAGGTAACCCATCTGTACCAGCAAATCACTGAGAAGTAAGTTTTCCAAGCAGTGTGGCTCCAAGTGGTAAAGCACCTGCTATCAAGCATGGGCTCCTGAGTTCAAACCTTAGGACCACCAAGAAAAAGAAGTAAGACTTCCATAATCCATGTCAGTATAACAGAGAAACAAAAAAAAATACAGTTGCATTTTAGAAAAGACTAAAGCAGGCCTAAGTACCCTGGAAAGATCCCTTCAGACTAATGAAAGACCTTCAGTTTTTTGGGTTGGCTTTTTTTCTGCAGTACTGAAGATTGAACTCAGGGCCTCATGCTTGCTTGGCAGGCACTCTACCACTTGAGCCATGTCCCCAACCCCATGTGGGGTGGGTTGAAATTACCCATGTTGATACAAAGAGGTCAGGTTGATGTTGTTTTGGTTTTTGATTTGAGATTTTTTTGTTGTTGTTCTTCTGGGAATGGGGTTTGAACACAGGGTTTCATGCTTGCAAAGTAGGCACTCTACCACTTGAGCAATACTTCCAGTCCATTTTTGTTCTGATTATTTTGGAGAAGGGGGTCTCATGAACTGTTTGCCCAGGCTGGCTTCAAACTTTGACTCTCCCAGTCTTAGCCTCCCAAGTAGCTAGGATTACAGGTGTGAGCCACCAGCACTTTGCCCGGTTGATATATTTTAATTGTTAGGTATATCTTGTGAGTCTTCCTCAGTTTATCTATCTTGTGAGTCTACCTCAGTTTATCTAAAGAGAGCTTATTATATTTTTTAATAATAAGACTTACTCAAATAGTGTACAGCTTGGAAAATAGTCTGGCAGTTTCTCATAAATGTGACCCAGCAATCCCACTGCTGAGATATTTCACTATAAGAAATAAAATTAGGCTGACTGCTCATCATGCCTATAATCCTAGCTACTTGGAAGACAGAGATCAGGAGGATCTCAGTTCAAAATCTGGGCAAATAGTTCTTGAGATCCTATCTCGAAAAAACCCATCACAAAAAACGGACTGGCAGAGCCAGCTAGCCCCTGCCTAGCAAGTGTGAGGCCCTGAGCTCAAACCCCAGTGCCACCAAAAAAGAAAAAAGGAATGAAATCAGGTATCCACACAAAGACTTGTACGCAAACATTTTTAAGAGTTTAGTCCACAATAGCCAACAACTAGAAATAGCCCAAATGCTAATCAACTGAATAGATATGCAACCATGGTATATCCATATAATTAAATACTATACCATTTAATAGTAAAAAGGAACAAATTTCTGATGCACAGATCAATGAATTATGGAAACACAGTAAAGTACCAAGACCCAAAAGACTGTAGTACTCCACAGTTCCATTTATAATGAGACTTCTAGAAAATATAAAGTAGCAAAAGCAGTACCTGGGAATAGTTTTGGTTCATGAAGTGCTTTGTCTTGATATTGGTGTTAGTTATAAACAAACTACATGTTTTTCAAAACTTATCAAACTATGTATCTAAAACTGATTTTATCTTAACTATATTGCCAGGTTTGTTTTGTTTTGTTTTGTTTTAATTACTCCTTTTAGTTCCAGAAACTCACTTTTAAGGTTTTTGTTTATTTGTTTTCCTTGAAACAGGGTCTTGCTATGTAGCCCAGGCTGGCCTGGAACTCACTGTATAACCCAGGCTGCTTGATCTAATCATCCTCTTGCCTCAGCCTCCCCCATGCCCAGCCCTGACTTTTAGTTTTAGTGAAATGCAAATGTCAAGGCATTTTCTTAGCATGCTCAGACTTTAACACCAGACAGTGTGGGTTGCTGTGCACCCAGATGTGAGGTGGGGAAACAAAGATAGGTGGAGAAGATAGGACATTTCTAAAATGTAAATTCTGTGTACTTGTTTCCAAGTGCAGTCACTTAGTGCTTGTGTCCTTGGTGCCTGCCATAGGAGGGTGTTTAACTAAGATTCTGGCCCCTTTCTCCAGCTCCTGCTTCACATTTGCCATGATTTGACTTTGGCAGTGCTGAGCCAACAGGTGGCCTCCTGGGACAAGGCTGTGACAGCACTCCTTCAGGCTGTGGTCCGGAGCTATGACTCAGGGAACTTCACCATCATGCAGGAAGTCTACTCAGCCTTTCTCCCTGACGGTAAATGACCCCCACCTCTACCTAGAGCACACCCATTAATGTACAACATAGAAGCCACTAATGGTATGGCACTGAGAGTACCAATCTTATTAAAAGATGGAGACTGGCCAAATTTGTGTCATTTTAGTAGGAAATTTGAATCCTCTTACTTTAGCTCCCAAGAGGGAGCCATAATGACTTTACTGTTTTCTTTTACCTGGCCCTACTCATCTTAACTGCTTCCTACCCAGTTTCCACACAGTTTAAGAGGTAGAGAAATGGTAATATAGTCACCAGCTAGTAAAATTAGAAAGGCACAGTGAAAAGATAGGCATCCCTTGAGCTACATAATCACTGGACCAAATCATTGTTATTTTTTAGAGAACAGTGAGATCATGCCTCAATCAAGCGGCCCTAGAGCCTTCAGTAAGACAGATGGGATACTTTTTCTATCATATCTGACTGACTTCTTACCTGTGGTAATGAGAGCATTGTCCAAGGCCAGGAAATGTTTAGCTCCACTGGCTATGGTTAGAAGGCATGTAGTTCCATGGAACACACTGTTGTCCTTTTTGAGGGAGTCTGCCTCATGGGTAATAAGTTGTTACTTACCAAGAAGTTACTTAACAGGAAGCCAGATTTTTGGTTGATAAAGAAATGCCTAACCCAAAATCTTTTTATTCTTTTCCTAGGCTGTGACTACCTAAGAGACAAACTGGGTGACCATCAGTCCCCTGCCACACCAGCTTTTAAAAGTTTGGAGGCCTTTTTTATTTATGGGCGATTGTATGAAATCTGGTGGTCACTCTCCAGGCCTTGCAGTGAGTCCAGTGTCTGGGTAAGGGCTGGCCACAGGACACCCTTTGTCAAGCAGAGCCAGCCATTAGACAGTCCTAGGACTGAAGAGACTGACCCAGAACCAAGATGGCCTCCAGGATCAGACTTGATACTGACAGAAGAAAGTGAGCAAGTGCTGAGTGCTAGTAAGGAGCTCTTTTCAGAAAAGCACGCCAGTCTCCAGAAGTCAAAGAGAACTATTGCTGATGTCCAAGAGACATTAGCAGAAATGATCCGCAAACACCAGAAGAGTCAACTCTGTACAGCCAGTGGCCCCAATAAGAATGAACCCAAACAGGAAGCAGAAGAGGCTCTCCCTAATGCTCAGAGTCTGTGGTAAGTACTGAGGGAGGTACCACTGGAATGAAGTGTACCCTGCTAGATTCTCGTGTATTTAGGTCCAAATAAGTACATGATGATGTTGATCAGATAGATCACTTGGAAGAGGCAAAATGTAGGAATTGAGGCATAGACCTGAATCAGATGTGAGTACTAATCCAGGCTTTGCTAAATGACCTCAGGCAAGTCTCTTAATGTCTCTGGCTTTAGATTCCTCATCAGTAAATAAGGGTACCAACTTCTGCCTTTGTGGTTCTGAGAATTAAACAAAATCACATATATTATTAATAATAGCACAGGAGTACCCTACTCTCGTGTACTAAGTTAATTCCCCTCCAAAAAAGTAAATCATGTAAAATATGGAGTTACATTAGTATGTGACTTCACACTTAACTGAGAAAATTCCAAATAGTGGAATGCTGTTACTTCCTAGTCATTTCCTTTGAAAATAGGCACCAGATGGAGAACAGGAGCCAATCACCACTCACTACTAGTCAGCTAGATTTCTATCACCTCAGGTGATTTGCTGGGAGGTTTGTAGTGCCTGACAGCTATTGCTTGGCTACTATGCTGAGTACCTTTTATCTTGATTACAGCCTCCAGCACAGAACCTAGAAAATACTAGTACAATCAGTAAACATAGCTATACTAACTTTAAAAAATTAAAACTTATAAAATTAATACTAATACAGTCAATCATGAGAGACTTGAGTCATTTTTCTAGGCAATTTTAGTTCTGCTTTCTAAAACAAGTAAAATGCTAAAAAGTTCTCTGACCCATTGACTCTTAGCCTTGGATCACAGGACCCCTTTGAGAAGTATAAGACAGTATCCAGAAAAATTTTCACCCATACATCCCTATGATTAGGAGCCCTGGCTTAGCCTAACTGTTCTCAGGAGAGACCCAGGGCTTCTACATTTGTGCAGTCGTATCCCCTAAAGGTCCACAGTTTTCACTGTGTTTTCAAGTATTTGGAAAATGATGAGGGACAATACTACATTTTGAAAAAATTTGATCAGCACAATTAAGTTGCCATCTCGTGATCTCTGTATTTATAAGATAAAAGTTACCCAGCCATAACAACCTAGTTCAAAAATGTGCAAAGGACTTGAACAGACATTTCTCCAAAAGATATATAAATGGTTAGTAAGCACATGAAAAGATAAATAAATGGCCAATAAACACAGGAAAAGATAGTCAGCATCACTCATTATGAGGGAAATGCAGATCAAAACTACAGTGAAATAACATTTCCTGCCCATTGTTATGGCTACTGTCAGATTAAGGCTGGGTGCTGGTAGTTTATGCCTATAATCCTAGCTACTAGGGAGTCTGAGATTGGGAGGATCACAGTTCAAGGCCAGCATAGTTCATGAAATCCCATCTTGAAAATAACCAGAGTAAAATAGACTGCAGGGGTTTCTCAGGTGGTTAGAGGGCCCACTTTTCAAACACCCCAAATTCAAACCCCAGTCCCACCACAAAAAAAAAGGAAATAATAAATGATGAAGACATACAGGAATTGGAACTGTTATGCACTGTGGGTGTGAACATAAAAGGAGAAAAACAGTATGGCAGTTCCTCAAAAAATTTAAAAAGTTGAATTACCATAATCTAACAGTTCCACTTCTGGTAATATACCCAAAAGAATTGAAAGCAGGAGAGCCAGGGATGCTAGCACACACCTGTAATCCTAGCATTCAGGAAGCAGAAGCAGGAAGACTGCAAGGTCAAGGCATAAATGCATGTTTGTATTTATATAAATATGTAAAAATTTACATTAAATATATATTTCATGAAATGTTACTCAGCTTTATAAAAGAAATTCTGACATAATGCTACAACTTAGATGAATCTGAGGTCGTCTTGCTAAGTGAAATAAGACAATAACAAAAAGATACACACTGTGTGATTCCACTTATACAATAGAAAGTATGGGTTGCTAGGAGACAGAGGGAGCACAGAATGGAGAATTACTATTTAATGAATATAGAATGTCAGTTTCACAACATGACAAGAGTTGTGGGAATGATGGTTTCACAACATTATGAAAGTACCTGATACCACTGAAATGTATACTTAACAGTGGTTAAGATGGTGAATTTCACAAGTATTTTACCACAATAAAATCAACTGGGAAGAAAAAAGTTACCAAGGCAAGATAGTGGACTTACACTTTTTTATTATTATTACTAGTAAAGAAGAAGAAAAGGAAACAGTTTCTCTGCCTGAACTAACCAAAAGGCTCACAGAGGCAAATGAGAGAATGGCTAAGTTTCCTGAGAGTATTAAGGTAAGATTTAGTTGGTAAAACATTTTTCATATTATAGTTTGACTATTCCAAATTCTTTTTTTTTTTTTTCCACAGTACTAGGGCTTGAACTCATGGCCTTCACCTTGAGCCACCCCACAAGCCCAATTTTTTGTGACAGGTTTTTTTCAAGATAGGGTCTCACAAGCTATTTGCCCAGCCTGGCTTCAAACTGTGATCTTCCTGATCAGCTAGGATTACAGGCATGAGCCACCAGCACCAAGCTATACCAAATTCTTAAAGATCATCTACTTCTCTGTTCAGTTTTTTAAATCAGCCTATTTGTATGTTCTTAAAAATTGAGGATCTGAGGCTGGTGATGTGGCTCAAGTAATAGAGCACTTGCCTAGCAAACACGAGGCCCTGAGTTCAAACCCCCAGTATCGAAATAAAATAGTAGAGTCTGGTTACCTTTAGTTCGCTAAAATATTTTATGAAAGTAGAATTATTAATCACACAAGAAGTTCTTCAGAGAAACTAAATTTTATAGTCAGTAAATAAGTAAAATGTAATGGTATCATCCATGTGTATTTGATAGTTTACCCGTAGATAGGTAAGTTTGGCTTTGTACCTTGTAGAGAGAGCAACAGCATTTTTTAAGTTTATTTCATTTGCACACTAGAAAAAGATTCTATCAGTTGGGAGGAACATCCTCCACTGTTGAATATCATCTCTCCTTAGAATAACTGATGAGCAAGAAAGGGCATTGCTTTAGGAAAGAAATGGCTCAGCTGAGCTTGACAAGTAGCAGTGCACATGTCCTTCTGGGGCTCTTTTGCAAACACTTCCTTATTCATCCTCATATGTCTTTCAGACTTGGCCCTTCCCAGATGTGCTAGAGTGCTGTCTTGTCCTGCTTCACATCGGGTCCCAGTGTCCTGGCTGTGTGACTCAGGAAATGCAACAACAGGCCCAGGAGTTCCTTCAGAAATATGGCAACACTAAAGCTTACAAAAGATGCTACCAGTCCCTCTGCACACGAACTTTCAAGGACCTTGAAGAAACTGTGCCACAGAACAATTGACATCTTTCATCTCTGCAATCACACCTTGCCAAGCACTCATTCTGATCACTAGATGTGTTTGCAGTTATCCAAACTAATATACAGAAGACAGTTGAACTTGAATCAACTTTGTCTACCCTATACAAGATGGAACCTGACTTTGGCCTCAATTGTGGTTTCCTAGTGAAGGGAAGATCATGAAAAGCCAGCAGTAGTTATTCAAAACTAGTACCTATAGAGTGATTGTGGTCATCTCTAAAGCCTTATGCAGGTTTCACCCAAAGAGAGAAACTTTTTTAATCACCTAAAGTGTTATGTTCTTAAACACAAACTACCTTTATAAATACTTCACCAGATCATAAACATCTCATTCTTGTTGGAGACAGAATTGTTAATGGGTGGATGTTCTTAATTATTTTTGTTAGCCCAGCTTTCCCACCTCTGTTCTCTCACAGACTGAAGTTTGAATCTGAAACCGACCTGTATGTATGTCCTGTTGACCCTACCTTCTACCTGAACTAATTTAGGTTGAAAATTTGGTTTCATTGTTTTATGGAATTGCTTATTTAGATACGTTGCTTACTAAGCATAATAACAACGAATAACAAGCCAGGCGCCAGTGGCTCACGCCTGTAATCTTAGCTACTCAGGAGGCAAAGATCAGGAGGATCGCAGTTCAAATCCAGCCTGGGCAAACAGTTCAAAAGACCCTCTCCCAAAAAAAACCTATCACAAAAAAAAGGGCTGGTAGAGTGACTCGAGGTGTAGACCCTGAGTTCAAGGCTCCGTACCACAAAAAAAGAAAAGGAAAAGAATAACTGTGTTATATCCCTTCAGTTTTTTAACAAATTATTGATAGTAACCAAGTCACTCCTGAACAAAGATTCTTAATCTTATGGGGGTGTTTACAAGCCTCACACACACAAGAATTAAGACTAAACTATAGATAATCTTTGGAGAAAAATGCATATTCCTAATTTAACAGGAGATTTATGAGTGGATCACTGGATTCCCACTTTAGCATAATAGAACCTTTAATACTATTTAAATATAAGCCCTGTGCTCTTTGGTTACTTAAACAATTGGAAAATGTCAGAACAAGTTTCCGTAATGTCTGGTTAACAAGACAAGCCTTGTGTTGGGTGGGAGAAGCACTCCTTCCCAATAATTGAACTGTTTTCTTTTGAGATTCACTGTGAAGGATTTTCTGTTTAGCTTATTTTTCAGTTAATTCCAGGGTTGGCAGTGTTGTGTGCAGCAAGAATGAAAACCACTAATAACTCTCCCAAAAGGAGAAAACTTCAGAGGCAGTTTTGAAAGGTATTTGCTCTGTGGGGCTTTTTGTTTTTTTGTTTTGTTTTGCAGTACTGGGGTTTGAACTCTGAACTTCACACTTATGAGGCAGGCACTCTTCCGCTTGAGCCACACCTCCAAACCTTCAGGGACATTTGTGTGTGTCTAGTTTAAAAAATGCTAAGCCCAAAAAGAATTATTATAAAATTTAAATACTCATAATTCTTTATCTTTTCTTTTTTGGTGCTAAGAATCAAACCCAAATCCTCACAGTTAAGTGAACTTTAGGAAGAGGATACATTGGTCTTAGAAGTAGAGATTTTTTTTCCCACAGTACTGGTGATTAAACCCAGGCTTTGTGCTTGCTAGGCAAGACGCTTGTTTTTAGTTTATTTTTGAGGCAGGATGATAAAGTTGATGGCTAAGTTGAACTAGATAGCAGTTCAGTCTTAGAGATGCAAAAAAATTTATTACCTTCCACCTTGAGTAAACAGTACTTGTTAAGCAGAGCATAGTGGTACACATCTGTAATCCCAGCACTCAGGAGGCTGAGTCAGGAGGATCATGAGTTCCAGGCTATCCTGTGCTACAGGGCAAGACCCTGACTCAAAAAAAAGTGGGGGGGGGGGGCACCAGTGGCTCACACCTATAATCTTAGCTACTTGGGAGGCACAGATCAGGAGGATCACAGTCAAGGCCAGCCCAGGTAAATAATTTATAAGACCCCATCTCCAAAATAACCAGAGTAAAATGGACTGGAGGTGTAAGCTTATGCTGTAGAGCACCTGCATAGCAAGGCATGAGGCCCTGAGTTCAAACTCCAGTACCTCTGAAAAAAATAAAAGACTAGTTATGGTGGTGCACATCTGTAATCCCTGCTTGTAGGAGTCATAGATAGGAAAATTGTGGTCCAAGGATGGCCCAGGGCAAAAACAGCAGACTCTATCCAAAAACTAGAGCAAAAAAAGAGCTAAAGGGTGTAGCTTAAGTGATACAGCACCTTCCAAGCAAGCAGAAGTCCCTGAATTCAAACCTCTGTATACTGGAAAAAAAAAAAAAAAAAAACTTTGTAATTGAAAGAAAATCCACCTCCCTAATTATCAGAACCACAAAGAGGTTTATCTGCCTCTTTAACTCCACAGTAGTCCTAATCACCTACCTTGTTACCTCCAACCCAGTTACCCACATGCACTGACCTCCCAATATTGTCTCTCTGAGTCTGCTATTATCCCTATTCTTCATCTAGCAGTGACTGTTCTAAATTGCAAACCCAGTTTAATCAATTTCCTTCTTACAAACCTTTCAGTAGTTGCTTATGCCTCTTGGAAAGAGGATAAAAATCTCAAAAGTGGTTTGTTAAGGCCCTGTCTGCTCCCAGCCCTTCTTGACCTTCTGTCAACTCACCCTGCTACTAGATTCCAGCCACACCAGTCTCTTAGCTGCTGGAGCCCACCAACTTCTCTGTCCCTCTGGGATTTTGCCTTGGTAAGTCTCTATCTTTTAGATGTCAGTTTCTGTGTGTGCGTGTGTGTGTGTAGGGTGTGTGTGTGTGTAGGGTGTGTGTGTGTGTGTGTGTGTGTGTGTGTGTGTGTGTGTGTGTGTGTGTGTGTGTGTGTGTAGGGTGTGTGTGTGTGTAGGGTGTGTTGGGGTTTTTTGGTGGTTTTTTTTGTGGAACTTAGATTTGAACTCAGGGCTTCAGTGCTTACAAAGCAGGCACTATTACTTGAGCCACACTTCCAGTCCTAAATTTCCTTTGTCTTGAACCTCAACCTCAGTGACATTACCTTTGAAATACTGTCTGGCAACACAGGTAGATTATAAACTCCAATGAGGATACAGATTATGTCATCTGTGTACTGTTTTATCCCTAGCTCCTATTTAAGTGCCTCATATTCAGTGGGTCCTTAGTGAATATCAACTGAATAAAATAGGAAATTATAATACTCAATGATAGCTTGGACATTAGGATTCTAAATTGACCTCATTCATACCAGCACTGGCTGAGAAACTTGTTCAAACTGACTAGACTGACACTGGAAACATTTGGCAATATATAGGGCTTGAATTGCACCCAAAATTAATTCCCTTGGTTACCCTTCAACAATTCCTTTTTCTGAAGATAACCACTTACCTATATATATGTACTGATACAAAGTTCCTGCCAGTTCTAATACTTGAGTTTTCTTTAGCACCATTTTAATAAGCTGTCTCCTATCTCTCCAGTTTGACCAGATCCTCACTCTCAAGAGTTCAGCCCTTCACTTCAACATCTCCTGACATGTAAATCTGACCTCAATTAAAGAAAAGCTGAATTCCCTGCTTTAATCCAGGTTTGAAAGGACATGGCATCAGTGGTTGAGAGAATCACTGTCTTGCTGTCACCACAAATCTTAAAGTGATAATTTTTCTTTCTTTTTTTTTTTTTTTTTAGGTGTACTGGAGTTTGAACTCAGGGGCATTCCACGTAAGCCATACTTGCAGTCTTTTTGCTTTAGGTATTTTTCAAATAGGGGTCTTGCATTTATGCCCAGGCCAGCCTGGACCCTGCTCCTCCTGTTTATGTTCCCTGCCTAGCTGGATGACAGGTGCACACCAACATGCCCAGCTTTTATTGAATGGTCATTCATGAACTTTTTGCCCATACTGGCCTCAAACCATGTTCCTCCCTATCTCTGCCTCCTGAGTAGCTAGCGGTACAGACGTGAGCCACGCCACTGTGCCTGGCAAATACCTCTTCTTATACGTGAACTTCCCAGTCAAAATTCTAGATCTTTTGGATGCAGTTGTGTGTGCCAGTAGTCCTAGCTACCCAGGAGGCTAAAGCAGGAGGATGGCTTGAACCTACAAGTTCAAGGACAGCCTGGGTAACATAGCAAAACTGTCTCACAATACAACCCCACATTTTTGTGCTGAAAGGTGGGACCTGTGGCTCATGCCTATAATCCTAGTTACCTGAAAGGATGAGATTAGGTTTGGGGTCAGCCAGGGCAAATAGTTTGCAAGACCCCCATAGCCAAAATAACTAGAGCAAAATGGACTAGAATTGTGGCTCAAGTGGTAGAGAACCTGCTTTACAAGCCATGAAGTCCTGTGTTCAAGCCTGAATCCCACTAAAAAAAGGGGCTGGGGCTGGAAATCTGAAGCTCAATTCTTCCTAAAGAACTCCACTAATTAGCCATGCATCCATGGCTCAAACCTGTAATCCTAACTACTCAAGAGGCAGAGAGCAGGAGGATCAAGGTTCAAACCCAGCCTAGGCAAATAGTCCATGAGAGCCTATCTTGAAAAACCCTTCACAAAAAAGGGCTGGTGGAGTAGCTCAAGGTGTAGACCCTGAGTTCAAACCCCAGTACTGCAAAAAAAAGAATTCCACTAATTAAGCTGATCTGTGATATATGAGTGGCCCCAGGGAATAAAATTAAAACTGCTTCCCTAGAAAGGCCCAGGAGGAGGTCTGAAGTGAAGCGTCAATTTGATAATGGAGGCAGGACGCTCCTCCATCTTCCACAGCCAGCAATTCATAGCTATGAACAACCAAGCCTTCTTGCCAGTGGTTAAAAAGAAATCTTTATTTTACAAAATTAAAAACATAAATATCATTACAAGCATCTTAAATACCAACTTATAATACTTAACATTTTTTAATCATTTCAAATTTAGTTTTCCATGAGCTTTTAAAATGTAAGACTTCATCCACTTCAGTGAGTTTTCTACCAGTTTTTATTTCCACCATTCCAAAAGGGTTTTTGTTTTTGCAAAATTGTCCATTCTATAGTTATTAAAAAAAAAAGAAAGTCTGCTTTTTAAATGAATGGTTTTAAAAACAAAGTCCTGAGCTTTTTACCCAGTTGTGGAATTACTCCAAGAAATCTTTCTAAACCAAATTCCTTTACTGCCCTGTTCACAAATAACTACTATAACTTTTCTAAAGATTCAACATTCCTAGTACTTATATTAATCCATCTCCCTAACTTCTCAGTTTGCTGAAAGGTAAAGCAGGGAAACAAGAGGAGGTGAGAGAACACAGGCCATCTGGAATCATATTACTGAAAATAGAACAGACTTAAGACCCAAAAAATCTAATCTTAACCATTTCCTTCAGGATCAAATCCAGAATATTTCATTATCTCAAAATTTTAATGACTTCAGATGATACATAAATGACAGCAAATCCCAGTAGCATGATGAAGCACGTAAGACACTTCAGTGGTCAGGTTAATGCCCATTCTGGAGTTTGTCACAAATGAAGGACAGATTCAGCCAAAGTATGTTCAGATTTCAGTGCAGAGGCAATTCATTTCCATATAATAGTTCCAAATCCAAAGTGAGGAAAGCCAGTGTCCTTGAGAAGCATCAAAAAAGGAAAGGCCAAGACTCAAATTCTACAACCCACTTCCCAGGCACAACTTTGAATACCATTTTCCCTTGAAGTCCTCAGCTCAGCTGAGAATTAGTAAGAATCTTCATCAAAGATTAGCAACAAATTTAAAAGAAAAAGAATGACAACAAGTTAAGAGTTATATAATTTTTACTAGTTTCAGACTTGTCCTGGGTGTATAAAAAGGTGTCAAATAAGCCATGGATGCTGGTGGCAGTAGGCAACTGGAGTGGAGAGACATAGGGATGAGGAATAAAGATCTATTTACAAATTCAGAGCAAATTCCCTTCTGGATCTAAAATAAAGACGTCTTTTGTCTCCAATAAAACAAAAGTCTTTCTCCTCAATGCAGATGATAGGTACAGTTTGCTCAAAAGAAGTATTTCTCTTGGGTAAGATAAGTATGCAGTCAGCACAGGAAGCACCATTTTGGGACTAGGACCACCTCGCAGAGCCTGCCGCCATCACTGCTGCATGTTGTTGATAATCGCCAGGATACTCATCTTCTCCTGGGCAGAGTCCACATCCTCATTCTGCTTCTGGGCAACTCCTGTGCCTAGGCCATAGAGCCGCCCACAGTACTTGGCATCATCTATACTGTCCTCAAAAAACAGCTGTAGAATAGGACAAGAGAACTATGGTAAGAATCATGCCAGGAGTCATGGCAAGTCTCAACGCTAGCAAATCACACCACCCAGCTCTCTGAAAGCTCTGAAAATCTGGCAAGCTAGAAAGTGAATTAGCAAAGAAAGGCTCCAAACCTTTCTTATACATACTTTTCATGCTACTATCTCTAAATATAGGCTCTGCTGTATACTTAAGACTTTCCATGAATTCTTTCACTGCCAAGATCCATGAGCTATCGCCATTTGAAACAACTGCCCATTCTTCACAGGTAAGGCAATGGTTAACAGCTTCATCTCCAGACTCAGACTAACTCATTGTGTGACCCTGACATCAAAGTCACTTCAACTCTTTTTAAACTGTGGTTCCTTATATATAAAATGGGGTCATTTTAGCCAAGCATGGTGGCATACTTCTATAATCTCAGCATTCAGGAGGCTAAGAAAGGAAGATCTGAGTTCAAGACCAGCCTGGGGTACACAGCCAAACCCTCATAAAGACAAAAAGCTAGGTGCCAGTAGCTCACACCTGTAATCCCAGCTACTCAGGAGGCAGAGATCAGGAGGATCACAGTTCAAAGCCAACCATGGACAAATAGTTCACAAGACCCTATCTCGAAAAAAAAAAAAAAACCCATCACAAAAAAGAGCTGCTGGAGTGGCTCAAGGTGTAGGCCCTAAGTTCAAACCCCAGTACCACTAAAAAAAAAAAAAAAAAGAAAGGAAAAAGAAGGGGAAAGGGTGATAATAGTGTTGTTGTGAGAAGTCAAGAACATTCAGCACTTATAGCCAGGTACCTCAACCTCAGCATTACTGAGCAGGATGACTATCTGAAGATGTTTAGCAGCTTCCCTGGCCAGTAGCATACCACCCTCTCCTACCCAATAGTGACACCAAAAGTACCTCCAGACATTACCAAATGTGCTATGGGAAATGAAATTGTCCCCAGTTGAGAACCACTAACCTAAAATATTTTTGTTATGGTTTGGATCTGAAATGTCCCCTACCTGAATAGCCTATAATGCTATTGGGAGGTGGTGAAACATTTAGAAGGTAGAGCCTAAGGGCTGGTGGAGTGGCTCAAGTGGTAGCACACCTGCCTTATAAGTGTGAGGCCCTGAGTTCAAACTCCAGTACCACAAAAAAAAAAAAAAAGAGCAAAACAGAAGGTGGAGCTTAGTAAAAGAAAGTTAGGTCACTGGGGGTGTGCCAAGAAACATACTGGGACCATAGCCCCTTCCCCTCTCTCTACTTCCTAACCACCATAAGGTGAACAGACCTGTCCACCCCATGCTCTCCCACCATGATGTTCTGGCTTCCCTAATCCCAAAAAACAACAGAGCCAATCAACCATGGACCAAAACCCTCCTTTTAAGTTGATCTCGGGTTCTTTCATCACAGTAACAGAAAGCTAACTACAAAACTTCCCAGTGCATGTAGTAATTAACAATTGTGATTTATGATTAAGAATAACAAAGAAGACACATACTATCTCTTTCCTCTAAAAAAGAGGAAATACCACTCAGTTATTATGACTCATTCCTAAAAGTATCAATAAAAATCATCATTTTAATTTTTGAAAGCAATTTCTTATTCCTTCTTCAAATACATTTTGAGACTTAGAGTGGGTGAATAGAGAAACTGAAAAAGAAATTCAGTCTTCAGGAATGAGTTGTAGTAAACTCAGTATTTAATAATTAATAGAACTCAGCATAACACAGCAGGTGGTCTAACAAGTAGGTTCCTATTGTGGAAATCAGAAGAAAAGCAAATGACTGAAAGGATCAGAACATCCAGGAACATTGGGTATACTCTGGACCTGTGTATGCTAAAGAATACTTGGCTATTCTGAAGCAACTCTACTTCAGAATGCTTCTTTTTGCCTTTCAAGCTACATTTGATATGTTGTCACACCATAAAAAGCTAACAAAAACAACTGCTTTCAAAGTGGCCATCAGCTTCTAACAGAAACTAAAGGTTCAACAACCCTCAACCCACAAGGATCACCCACCTACTTAGCTTGTGGCAAGTTTTAGGCCAATCCAATTCTAGACAGCAAATCTCTTCAGAGAAGTCCTCACATTTGATGGAGCTTACCTCTTTCATCCTGAAGAATGCCATGCCTGTCAGCAGTGAGTCGGAGCCTGCCTGGTGCTGCCTTCCAATTCTCTGCAAATCCAACTGATCAGCAACTTCCTGAAGACCTCCCTAAAGATGTACAGAAAGCAAAGATAATGTTATAAAGCGTACACTATTCTACTGGACTCAACTAAGACTACTTGAGTTTACTTTGTAGCAGTGCCAAGTAGTAGAATAGGCCATTTATTTAATAGGCCTCAGTACCCATATTTTAGACCTTAAACTGTTTTCTTCCCTCCAAATAATAGTTTTTATTCCTTTCTTTTCTATATTGTTAATTTTGCCAGAACTCAGCCCTCAAATCAAAACTGCTATAAAACAAGGTTTAGGAAATGGCAAATGCCAATTCAATTCCAGACAGCAAATCTCTTATGACAACTCATTCAGGTGGTGACTTCTTGAACTTTCTAGAGTCACAAATCCCTCTGAGAATCTTGGACACTGCAGAGCCCATCACTAACAAATGCCTACACCTCATGTTCCCAACTATTTCACTAGGTCCATGGGCCTCAGGTGAAAGATACATGCTTTAGAACGAAAGAAACAGAGGGCTCCCTTTGTGTCCAGGTTACCCACACACAAATCCCTGTGCCAGTCAGCTTTGTTATACCCCCTCCCTAGCAAAATGTTGGCACCTACCAACTACTTAAGAATGCATGCAGAACACATAGCAATAAAACAAAATGTCAAGTCTGTTTTGGGCTTTTTTTTTTTTTTACAGGGTGGGGGGCTGTTAGTATTGAAAAATATATACCTTAAGATTTTTGCAACTCTTCATTAAGTATTTCACATCATAAATGGACGGAAAGAAAAGATTCAGAATATGAAAAAATTCATGTTCTTCTTCTGGCAAACGAGAATCTGTAAGCAACTTTACCATGTAGCCAAAATCATAGCCACTACAAGGAAAGAATAAAGCAGGAGTTACCAGGCTCCAGCATTCAACAACTTTATTTCCGACTTCCAAAGCAGTATACCCTACTGTAATCTGAACTTTCTGGAGATACACAAGAAAAACAATGGTTTATATATATGTACCATGTGCTAACCAATTTGCCACTGGAGCTCCCCAACAGTTTATAAATGTGGATTTTATCCATCAAAAATCCAAAAGTACTAGAAAGATAAAATGTAGCTCCTAAGGGGAATATGCCTTTTGATTACTTGAGAAATTCCACAACAGATTAAAAGACAGAAGTCCTTCTTCTTGGAATTACACCTCCTGACTGGCTACATGATGAGCCCAATACTCATGTGAAACAAACCAGTATGAGCACTGAAGTGTTTGCTGAAAACATGAAACATGAAAAACAGAACTCACTTTTGACTTCTAACTGCTGTTGATGAATATAACAGAACCAATGGAACTGTAAAATAGCTAACAATTCAATTCCCTCTCTAGCTTAGCCCAAAGTAAGAGAATGATACACAGTCTGAGACTGACCTGTGAAATGAAAGCCATTTGACATTGTCACAGAGAACCACTCCTGATGTCATAAGCAGTTCTGCAAAATGCAATGTGTCAATCCCTTCCTCTTCATGCTTCTGAAACTGCAGTCCAGAGTTAGCAAGGAGGTCTATAGAATCCTGGGAGTACATGTCCTCTCTAAAAAAAAAAGTATTCACTTATTATACGTTAGATAATGAAACAGATGTAGAAGGCAGTAATATTACCAACACCTCATAATTTTATAGTATATATAGTCCTGAAATACTCTTCATAATTTAAGAATAGATCAATTAGGGCTGGTGGAGTCACTCAAGTGGTAGAGCACCTACTTACCAAGTGTGAGGCCCTGAGTTCAAATCCCCGTACAGCCAAAAAGAAAAAAGATCAATTCAGAGGGCAAGATGGCAAAATAGAAGTGTCCACCATTTTGATCTTTGGACATGAAGCGCCAGGTAACACTGGAGAGACTATATTCTGAAGAGAGAAACAGTAAAAGCTGGGCACCAGTAATCCTAGCTACTCAGGAGGTAGAAATCAGGAGGATCACAGTTCAAAGCCAGCCTCAGGAAAAATAATAGTTCATGAGAAAAAAGGGCTGACAGAGTGGCTCAAGCAGTTAAGAGTGCCTGCCTGGCAAGCGAGCCCAAAGTTCAAACCCAGGTGCCACCAAAAGAAAAGAAAAAGAAAACAGAGGAAGAACAGTGGGAATCACAAAAGAGATAGCAAGACAGGAAGAAAAGCATGGAGAAACACAGGCAACAGAGAAAAGCAACAAGCAGTTCCAAACCCTGTCCTGAGCTTCCCAGGAAGGAAAAGGGAAGCTGAAGATACCATCACAAGGTAAGGCAGTTGGCCCTGGTGACAGACTGACAATTCTAGCTGCATGGTAAAACTATACCACCCACAATCCTTAAACTCAGTCCAGAATTTGATAACACAGTGACTGCTCTGGTGTGAAAGGCTAGCCTCAATGAAGAAAGATACTGCTGTTCCTCTCATCTCTGAGAGCTATTGCAAGATGCCATCTTGAGAAAGGGCCTACTGTTTGAGACTGATACTCTGGGGACTGAAAACAAAGAACAATGATGGCTGAAGGAATCCTGAGACACCCAGCCACAGTGTCTATGTGGTACACGGCCACCAGAAGCAGTTGTAGAAAGGGAATAGTCCCATAGAGAAGATCAAACAGGAGTTCCTGCAGTGTGGCCCCATCTTTCTGGCAAAGTGTAAGTCTCATTACCTGAGGATCATGGTAGAAACAAAGCACCAAGCCTGTGGCTAGGGTAGTATTTGGCTTCCAGGACCTACCTCCTGGCTGCAGATGCTGCCTGTTACAAGGGTCTGAGGACCCAGAGCTGCTGGATGGGGTTTGAAAGCATTGAGAAGAGCAAGCAGACTGCCTAATCCCTCAGCTCTCCCCCAGGCAATGCAGAACTCAGTGCTCTGTTTGTTCCCCTATCCCCCAACCCTCTGATGCATTTGGGGGTTACCCCTAGGCTTGAATGCTGGCTGCCCCTGGAGACACTAACAGGAGTGCTTATGGAACAAGTAAGCACCTATGTAGGTCACAGGCTGAAAAGATCCCTATAGCCAGCAGTGGCTCCCAGTACACAAAGAAGGGAAGCTTCCACAGTGAAAGTAGCCCAGAAGTGGACAAGTGACTCTTCTACAAGAGACTCAGTTTTCCTCAATCTCAGCAGTGCTCGAGATCAGGCCAGGTGCCCTGAGTACGTGGACAAATGCTTGCCTACTGAACTTATACCCACAGCCAAGTTGTAAGAAATAGCAGATCAACCCGGCCACAACACTGTCTTGCCTGAACACTAAGAATATTTCAACTGAAAGACTACAGGTGATTAAAACATACAACCAATGGCTTGGCCTCCAATGTGCAAATCCCAACACAGAAACACAAATAAATAAAGAAATTAATAAATAAACAAGGTAACATAACTCCTCCAAAACTCAACAACTTCACAGTAACAAACACTAACAATTGTGAAGTGGATGAATCTCAAAGAATTTAAAAAAAAAAAAAGGTAAGAATTATCAATAACTGGTAGAGTGCATGCCTATAATCCCAGCATCAGGAGACAGAGGAAGTAGGATCATGAGTTTAAGGCTAGTCTGGGTTACACAGTTAGACTCAGTCTCTAAAAGGAACCTATATATATGTAGTGAGACCCAGTCTTTAAAAAGAATATGTTGATACATCCATATATCAATAAAATTAGTGAGGACACGAAAAAACACCTGAATGAATTCTAAGAAAGCTCAAAAAGCTGAATGAAGAAGTCAATGCAGTAGCAAGGAGCTGGTGGCTACGCCTTAATTCTAGCTACTCGGGAGGCAAAGATCAAGAGGATCGAGGTTCGAAGACAGCCCAGACAAATAGTTCACGAGACCCTATCTCCAAAACCCTTCACAAGAATAGGGCTGGTGGAGTGATCAAGGTGAAGGCCCTGAGTTCAGACCCCAGTACCACAAAAAAAAAAGTCAATGCAAGACATGAAACAGGAATTCAATAAAGATATAGAAATTTGAAATAACATTAAATTGTAATTCTGGAAAAGCTCAATAAGTCAAGTAAAAACATAGTTGAAACTCTCTCCAGGAGAATGAATAAAACTGAAGGCAGAATATCAAGGTGTGAAGACAAAGTGAATGTGTCAGAACATGCAAATGAAGATAGAAAAAAAAAAACTAAAGAAGTACAAACAGAACATGCAAGCCCTCTGGGACACCATTAAAAAAACAAACCTACAAATTATGGGCATAGAAGAAGAAATGCAAGCTAAAGGCATAGAAAACATATTCCATTGAATATTCTATTAAATAAGGACAAAAAACTTCTCAAATCTTGAGAAACACATGGCCATCCAGGTACAGGAGGCTTTTTGGACTCCAAACAGACAGGACCAGAAAACCTCTCCACATATTATTTTATAGTTAAAATACTAGGCATACAAAACAAGAATGGATGTTGAAAGTTGCAAAAGACAAGTACCCGGTCACCTATAAAGACAAACCCATCAGAATTATATTTCTCAACAGAAACTTTAAAAGCAAAGAGGGCATAGAATGATGTACTGCAAGCCCTGAAAGGGCTAGGTAACCATAAACCTAGATTACTGTACCCAGCAAAGCTGTCCTTCATAACTGAAAAAGAAATAATAAAAACTTTCCATGATAAAAACTAAAGCCAATGACCACTAAACTAGCACTACATAAAATAATTAAAGGAATCCTAAACCCAGAAGAGGAAGATAAACACAACCATAAAAGTATGGAAAAGAATAAATCTCACTAGATGAGTAGATAAGCAAATAAGGAGTTAGGAAGAAACAAACACTACAAAACCAGTAAAATGGAAGGAGCTACTATATACCATTCAGTAATAACTCTGAATATTAATAGTGTCAATTCTCCAATCAAAACACACAGCCTTTCAGGTACTGGTGGCTCATGCCTGTAATCATAGCTATTCATGAGGCAGAGATCAGGAGGATCATGGTTTGAAGCCAGCCTAAGGCATATAGTTCAAAAGACCCTATCTCGAAAATACCCAACACAAAAAGGTCTGGTGGAGTAGCTCAAGTGGTAGAGCCTAGCAAGTGTGAGGCCCTGAGTTCAAACCCCAGAACTGCCAAACACACACACATATACCCACAAAGTTTGGCAGACTAGAAAACAAGACCTGACCATTTGTTGCCTACAAAAAAAACACACCTCTCAGAGGTGAGGATATAGCTCAGTGATTGCCTAGCATGCATGAGGCCATGGGTTTGATCCCCAGTACCTCAAAAAATAAAAAAAATTTTAAAAATGTACCTCACGGCAAAGACAAACATAGGCTCAGAGTAAAAGGATGGACACAGATATTCCAAGCAAATGTAGCCTAAAAAGCAAGTAAAAGTAGCTACATTAATATCTTACAAAGCAGAGTTCAAACCATACTTTATTAGAAGAGACAAAGGTCACTTCATATTCATAAATCGAACAACCCAGCAGGAGGAGACAACAATTATGAAGATGTATGTACCAAACATCGGCCCAGTTTCACAAAGTAAACACACTAGACATACAAGTGGATATCCCAACACGATAATACAGGGTGAGTTTAATGCCCCGCTCTCACCAACAGGTCATCTACACAACAATCAATAAGAAAACTTCAAACTTAAATGACACTATAGATCATACGAACTTAACAGAGATATTCCACCCAATATTCTACAGAATATTCCACTCAACAGCTACGGAGTACACGTTCTTCTCAGCAGTCCACGGAACTTTCTCCAAAACAGATCATATCTTAGGGCATAAAGTCTTAACAAATGCAAGAAAACTGAAATAATGTCCTGACCACAATTAAATAAACTTAGAAATCAATTAGAAGAGGAACTACAGAAAATATCCAAACACATGGAGACTGAGCAATGCACTCTTGAATGACAAGTGGGTCATCAAAAAAATGGGGAAATCAAAAAGTCCCTAGAATCAAAGAAAAATGAAAATACAACTTACCAGAACCTTTGGGACACAGCAAAGGCAATACTAAAAACTAAGTTGATAGCTATGATTACCTTCATTAAAAAAATCAGAGAAGCCGGGTTCTGATAGCTAATGCCTATAATCCTAGCTACTTGGAAGGCAGAGATCAAGAGAATCTGTTTGAGGCCAGCCCAAGCAAATAATTCACAAGACCCTATCTCAAAGGAGCTGGCGAAGTGGCATGAGTGGTAGAATACCTGCCTTGCAAATGTGAGGCCTTGAGTGCAAGCCCCAGTACCACAAAAAAAAAAAAAAACAGAGAGATTCCAAATAAATAAACGTATGCACTGCACCTCAAACTCTTAGAAAAAGCTAAACCCCAAAGCAGCAGATAGACCAAACTACTAAAAATCAGGACAGACATTCATAAAGTAAAGATTAAAAGAACACTACAAAGAATCAATGAAACAAAAAGTTGATTCTTTGAAAAGATAAATAAGATTAACAAACCCTTAGCCAAACTAACCAAAAGAAAGAGAAGACCCAAATTAATAAAAACAGAGATGAGAAAAGGGATATCACAACAAATATCAAAGAAATTCAGAGGATCATTAAGGACTATTTCAAAAACTTATAGTCTAATAAGCTGGAAAATCTAGAAG